CACACACACACACACACACACAATAGAAAGACGTAGATAAAGACTAGTTAGTAACTATAGAAAATAAACAAAGATGAGATATATATATATATATATATATATATATATAAGTGAGAATCAACGATACCACGGCTGACGAAGTCAGCTCCCACCCAACTGCGTGACCTGGCCGCCATGCAGACGCACGATGACGCGCGCGGAAAGCGCAAATAATAATAACAATAATGAAATGGATCTGGAAGAGAGAGCGACCAGGACGAGTCCTTCCTGGAAACAAAAAGGAAAAATAAAGGAGAGCTAGTCTCGCACACCCACGTCGACTTCTTCCGCTTTTAGGCTTTGATAACGTTCACGTGGATCGCCTTGCCCACCTCCGCCGCTACCGGCAGCGTCAGCACGTTCTTGTAATACTTGAACGAGTTAGGGAACGTCGATATTATGTCCTGCCGAAGCGGCGGCATGGACAGCGCCGCGTGCAACGCCATCGCCAGCACGAGATCGGCCGCCGTTAACGAGTCCCCCACCAGAAACAGCAACTCCTGCCGTTGCACGACCTGCCCCCCCGCCCCACCAACCACGACGGAGCCACGCGCGGACATCATTCCAGACGTCCGAGGCGTGATGCCGCTGATGCGCGGCGTGGCGGCGCTGTCCCACGCCGCTGACACACGCCGCGAGGTGCGGATGTCCCCCTCCGCGACCCCGAGCGCCTCGTCGGTGGTCTTCTTGATATTCTCGAGCTGCTTCTCCCGCTCCTGCCGCTCCTTCTCGGAGGTGCGGTGGCGAATAGCGCCCGCGACGTTGTAGACGGCACTGAGCCGGTTGTCGCGTGTGGCACGACTGGTGCGGTACTCCTCCTCATTCCACAAGAAGTCCTCGTCGGTCATCGCGGTGCGCGTCGTCAGCGAGCCGGACTGCTGCACCATCGCCTTTCGCGTTTCCTTCAAGTAAGCGAGGCGGCGCTCCAGGCCCGCCAAGGCTTTCCAGAACTTCTCCTTCACCTCGGCACCGGGCTGCGGACCGACCTTCTGCTCCCACAGGTAGAACTGCTTGGTGTAGTAGTCGATGTGCGTGATCGCGAAGTCCAACCAGCTGTCCACCGCCGTCGACTCCAGCAGCGAGTGGCCGTACAAGGCGTACGGAATAGGGTACTGCGGGTGCGGGATCTTCTCGTTGCTCACCCCGCCGTCCGCGCCGGCGTTCCCCGAGACGAGCATCACCTCGGTGCGGGCCAGATAGCGCACGATGGCGTTCGTTTCGAATAGGTAGCCCTCGTCCGTTTTCATCACCGGGATGCGCTGCATGGGGTGACAGTTCAGCCGATACGCCTCCGTCTCGTTGTCCTGGTCGGGGATGATAGGGACGAGCTTCAGCTGGACGCCGGCGTAGGCTGCGACGAGCAGCACGCGCTGCACAAACGGCGAGTCGAGGTAACCGATGAGCGAAAGAACCATCGTACGGCGGCGGAGTGAGGATGGATGGCTTCAATATTTTTTTCTTTGTTTTTTGCCTTTTGAAAATGCGGGTGTGGGGAGCGAGATCAATCAATCAGGAGTAGATCGAGAGAGGGAGGGGGAGGACAATGACGCGGCTGTCACACGAATGCGGAGGGAGGCCACACAACGGAAGTGAGGGAAAAACAAAACCCCCCTGACGAACGAAGGACGACGGTGCGGAGAAGAAAATACGGCGGAGGCTGCGCTTTTCGACGGCCGGCCGCAGAACGATGAAGAGGGCAAAAATAGAGTCGATCAACAAACAAACAAACAAAGTCAACTACACGCCAGCTGCGACACCCCCCGTTCACATATATATATATATATATAATGGAGAGAGAAGAGGAAGAAGGACAGCGAAGTAAGTAAATGTGGAGAGAGAGAGAAAGAGGGAGAGGCCGCGCCACTCTTCTTCCGGCGCTGTCACGAGCAGCAGCTACATGCGCTGCTCGTACGACGTTTGATGGGTGCGGGGGGCAGCAGCCAATACGCGAGACTCGGGGGGGGGGGGGGGTAGGGGGAAGCCGAAGGAAGCAGCCGTCTCTCCCTCCTGTATCCCTCAGCAGAAGAGGCACTTACGTGAAGATAAGAAGAGAGAATCCCGCGCGCAAAGATAGATGGTTGTTCCCTTCCTTTTTTGCGACTTACGCCTTCTCCGCCGAAAGCGACGGCATCATCAACACCTCCAACGCGCATGTGCATGTGTGTGTGTGTCATCCATGCGGTAGCATCTTCTAAAGAAAGGCCCCCAAAACAGGACTTCTCTGCTTATGTGCCCATCACGGTGGGGTGCATCGCTTAATCAACCAACGAATCAACAACGAGAAACCAACAGTAAAAGTAGTAGTCGTAGTTACTTAAAAGAAGACTGTATCAAGTAGAAATATATAAATATAAAACTATAAAGGGAGGACAGCTCCAAATACAGAAGAGAGAGAAAAGAAAAGAGGAAATGTTAAGAGTTGCAAGTGGTGGTGCAACCGTCTATCAAAGAACGAAATCACCACCACCACTACCATCACCAACAACAACAACAACGAAAGGGGACCTGTTACCTGCTCTGTCGGCACGCAGCCTTTTATGAAGCAACTCGAAGGAGCAGTTCAGATCGACTTCTACAAATAGTAAAAAAATGAAAACTAAGAATAAGCCGCGGCTTGCACCTACTGAAGTGATCAGGAGCAAGGCGAGGACACTTACACGCACACACACACACAACATAAGCCACGACAGCGTGATATGAAGTCACCTTCACCCAACGCACACACACGCACACACACACATGCACCAAGAAAGAACCAACCAACAACATCGACAAAGCAAAACCTACTAAAAAGAAACACACACGCTCATACAACGGATAAAAGGCGAGAAGGGCAGAGGGAGAATGACCGCGAGGGGTGGGAGGAACTCGCGTACTCGTTTCTCATCTCTACGCACAGCAACAAACAAGCAAAAAGAAGTCTTCCACAGGAAGGAAGGAAAAATAAAGAAAAAGGAATGAAGCATGATAGAAGGCAACGAATGACTGCCCCACCCCCCCTCGCCGCCGCTTCTGCGCTACCGCTCTCCTCTTTCGTGGAAGCGAACACCACCGACAGACCCGAAAAGAATGCAGGCAAGGACTCACAGACTCCGTGAGAGAGAGAGAGCGGCCAATACTACGGCAGAAACAGCAACAACAACACACACACACACACACACACACACACGTTGAACCCTGTCCTTCCTTCCGCTTTGCTTCCAGAGCTATTCAACCTTTATAAGCCCTTTTTCGCTTCCGCGCTTGGTGCGGGTGCGGCGTTTGCCGGGCTGCCGGAGCCGTTGTTCGCCGTGCCCGTCGCCGCCTGCGCCGCCTTCGCCTTGGAGCGCTGCGTCTGCTGCCGCGCAGCCTCCTCCATCGCCGCCACCAACACGCTCTGCTCCTCCACATCGTTCGACGACACCGTGTAGTTGTCCACCGTCCGCACCTGCTTCCACTCGTTGGGGTGGAAGACGTTGTAGACGCCGGTGAAGATCTTCTGCCGGTCGGGCCCCGCCGTGACCTTCTCCATCAGTGTCCCATCGTCCATCTTCACGGGGTGAAACCAGTGTTGCTCGCGCTTGTTATAGCGCCAGCCTCGCTCGTACAAGGCCCGAGCCGCGGCCAGGTGCAGCACATCCCGCGGCATGCTATAGAAAATGTAGAAGAGCGTCTCTTCCTTAAACTGATGAAAGGACTTCATCGAAAGCGAGCGGGGCCGCGGCTTCTTGTAGCTGTCCGGGATCTTGAACTCGGGCAGAATGAAATAGTTGTGGGTGTCCAGCGGCAGGGTGGCCAGCGTCGGGTGCAGCCACTCCTGCTGCGAGACGGAGAGGCCCAGCTGCGTGATATCGAAGCCGCGTGTGATGAAGGAAAAGTTGATTTCATCCGCTTCCTGCTGGCTGATCGGGCGGCCGGTGGTCGGGTCCGTCGGCTCGTCCGGCAGCGGCACGTGTGGGTTGGCGGACATCACCGGCGCCGCCGTCAGCACCTTCACGAGCGGCTTTAGGCCGTACTCGTCGTCCACTTCAATCCGGCCACGAGTAGCGGCGGCGGGGCCCCCACCCGCCATCGCAGCGGACATCATGGGCGGGGTGCTGCGAATACCGCCAGCACCAACACCACCCCCACCTGCTGCTGCCGGTCCGGCGGACATCTGCATGTTCGAGGCCGCGGGAGGTGAGCCGGAGGGGATGGCGGCCGCGATGGCCGGGTCCAGGTGGGGTCCAACGGCGCTCACCGGTAGCGTATCGCCTATGCTCGGTGCGACGCCAGGGCGTTGTTGCTGTGGTCCGCGTTGTTGCGGGTTCAGCTTCGAGGGTCCGCTCTGCGTCCGCAGCAAGTCGAGCAGCGCGTCCTTCTCCGCTTGCGTCTTCTGCTCGAAGCCGTCGCCTTGCTCCACCCCTCCCGAGTGCCCTGTGGGGAAGCCAGGCATGCCCGGCTGACGCTGTTGTTGCTGCTGCTGCTGCTGCTGCGCCGGGTTACGCTGCTGCGTAGTTTTGTTAGGCCCCCACCGCCCCCGCATCAGCTCCGCCATTGGGTCTTTGCTTCCCTGCCCATTCGACTCGAAGCCGGCGTCGCGCTCCATGCTGCCAGTGGGGTAGCTAAGCATGAAGGGCATACGCTGTTGCTGCTGCTGCTGCTGTTGCTGTGGAGGCGGCGGCCCGCGCTGCTGAAACATCTTCCCCGCCGCGCCCTCCGTTCGGATAAACTCCAACATCGCGTCCTTCTCCGCCTGCGACTTTTGATCGAAGCCTTCGCCCTGCTCCAGGCCACCAGCGGGGTGGCCGGTAGGGTAGTCGGACATGCCGGGTACTCGCTGCTGCTGCTGCTGCTGCGCTGCTTGTTGTGGCTGTGGTGGATGTCCGGGGAGCTGTTGCTGCTGCTGACCGCGACTACGCATATCTGGCTGCGCGCGGCGCTGGCTTTCTACGAAGGTTTGATACTGCAGCTGCTGGGCGTTGAAGACCTGCAGCTGGGGGTAGGCGATGGGGAAGTTGAGGTACATCTGCTGCGGTGGGGTGCCATTCTGGGAGTAGTAGAAGGGCTGCGTCGCACTCGGATTGCTGCCATCGCCTGGTTGCATCGGCATGCGATTTGCCATCCTCTCGTGTGTCCCGTCGGCGTGCGTGTGTCCTTTCTTGTTCTTCTGCTTCTGGTAAACAAGGGAACAATAAAGAAGAAAGAGTACTGTTAAGGATACTAGCGATATATATACACGTATGTCCACGAACCGTCGAGCCGCGTTCTCCGCCTCGCTGAAGTACACGCTTCCAGCAGCTACAAGGGAGAGAGGGTGAGAGAGAGAGAGAAAGAGGGGTTGGACGAAAGCTGCAGCAACAGTAATAACAACGATGCGCGCTCCTTTTCCCTTTTTCGTAGGTGTAGTTGACGAATGCGCTGCAGTGGAAGTGATGCTCGTGTCTTTGCCTTTTTTCTGTTGGATATTCGTTGATGCAGTTGTGTTGGTGCGTTTCGCGTAGAACTACACGCGCGCACGGTGCACGTATGTACAGGAGCAAGGCGGTGCGTGAGACGCCGAAGAAGAGCGAGGCGGTGGAGGAGGGGATTAGGAGTTGACCACAGGGAATGAGAAGGGCGATTCTGATGAGGGTAGAGGGGGGGGGTCTGACAGACCAATGCGCGACGCTCACTCCCCCCTCCGCCCCCTCCCCCCCTCGTCCTCTTCTGCGGAAAAGCAACAACAACAGCAACAAACAAAACAAACAGTTCCACACGTGCGAGAAAAAGTCCACTCCGTCTGCCCCGACGATTTCATCGGGGTGGTGCCGAAGGCGTACACGTGTGTGTGTGTGTGTGTGTGTCTCGCCTGCCTCTCACCACCGAAGCACGCTCTTCTCTATTGCAGCTTCATGACACCCAATAGGAGACGCGCCATCGCACTCACCCACACAAACAGCGGAGTCGAATTCGTCTGTGGTCTCGATGGTACTATTATTATTACTGCTATTGTCTTTTTGAAGTTCGTTGCTGGGTTTGCTTTCCGGCGAGGTGCGATGGAACCCGCGACAGGGAAAAGAAAAAAGAAAGGCTTCACGCGCCTTGAAATCGACGAGAAATCGAGGAGAACTTCAAACAACAACACAGAGCAAATACATCAGCGAGGCACGCACAGATCAACACGGAGATGAATCACAAGAAGACACACAAGCACCCCTCAAAAAAAAAAAACTACACACACACGGAAACACATTAAAAATACATTAAATGAATAAAGAAGTATATATATATATATACACGTCGGCGATTCGCAGCGGACACAACGCCTCTCCCCCCCTCCCCCCTCCCCGCCCACACACACCCACGTGTGCGCGTGTACGATCACGAAGAGGAGAGAGAGAGGGAAGTGGTAGAACACGTCAAAACAAGAAGCCAAATAGCCTTTATACATTCCACGGTGACGATGGGCACGAGGAGAGAAACGCACACAGAGGAACACACACACACACACACACATCGTCAGCATATCCGCAACAGCAACGAAATACCTTTCCCACACATGCGTCTTTCGCTCGCTCTCTATGTGTGTGTGTGGGTGTTTCCAACGTTATGGTTGCTGCTGCCGCCGAAGAGCTGCGGACGAGTCTTGTCGAACTGAAAAATCCGGGTAGGCCGACATGGCCGTGTTGAGCAGATCCTCTTCCAACACGTCGGAGTCGGGCGGCGCACTCGTCGAGGAGGGGTGGAGACGCGGGCGATGGTGGGGATGACTGCTATGGTGCTGATTGTGTTGCTGGAGGTAGCAGCTCACACTCGTCAGCGAGCGGCGCGATCGTGCAGACGGCAACGGCGAGCGAGAGCGGCGCGGGCGGCTACGCAGCTGCTGTTGCGGCGTCCCGCTCGTGTCCTGCGGCGGCATCGCGGACGGGGAGTCCGATCGAGATGGCAAGTTCGCCCCGAAGCTGTTTGGAGCACCCGGCGTTGGGAATGGCATCACGAGAGAGGATGACGTGACAGAGTGGGGGGCGTTGCGGTGGCCCTGCCAGCCATCACCGACCGTACTCGACGACGCCTCTGCCCGTGTGGTGTCGTTGCAGTTTTGCAGACTGGTGCTGCTGTGCGGGTTCCAGCTCTTGTTCACGGCGGTGGTGGTGGTGGTCGTCGTCGTCGTGGTCGTGGTATTGACACTACTGTTCGTGTAGTTCGTGGTCAGGCTTAGCGGGTAGGCGGGCGGAGGGGTGGAGAGGGCACTGTGGCTGCACCCGCTGCTCAACACATGAAGCTGCAAGTTATGCGAGCTGACGGAGTACAGCATCTCGGCCATGTCCGACGACGACATCGGTGCCGCCATCCGACCGGAGCGCCGACCTTCGCGGTTGCCGGAGTGGCACGCGGGCCGCGGGTAGGCAACGCTGCTGCTCCGTGCCGGGTTCATTCCACCACTTGTGCTCTTCAACTCCCCTCCACTTCCACCACCACCACCACCGTGGCGGGCGTCGCCAGGGCCGCGCGGCGGGACACAGTTGTAGAACAGCGGACCCAGCGACGTCTCGCTCCCGCGCCCCACCTCGTCCACCACGTTGTCCGGCTCCGCGTCACTCATGCGTGCCGACTCCAGCGTCCCAAGCCGATCCGCGATCGCGAAGGCCGACAGCAGAGCGGAGTCGCTTGACTGACGCGGCATGGGGAACATGTGATGGACGTCCCCCGCGGAGCGCAGCATCGTCGTTGGGCGCGACTCGTGTGCTGTCCACCCCCCGGTAGCGGTCGCACGTTCGTTGAGGTGCACGCTCTGCGCACCGCGCTCGCGCCTCTCCGCCGCTGCTGCCTCGCTGACGTCACTACCGCTGCTGCTACGCACGAGCGAGGCGCCGTTGGCGGCCACGCTGACGTTGCCGTGCAACGCACACGGCGCGGCCATCGCCGACGCACGACTGCCGTCCAGTGAGCAGTACGAGGCAGAGCTCCGCGGCCGTTGCTGCGGGAGACGCCCCGCCGTGCGGCTGGAGAGGGGACCGCGCTGGGGTCTAGGCGAGCCTTCGTTGGCCACCACGTGACAGTGCAACGCGCCCGACTTGCTCGCGGTGGCGCCGTCCGATCGGCGCAGTGCAGAGGCCAACGCGCCCTCAGTAAACGTGCGGGCCGGGTTCGGTGCCTTCTGCGCCGGGCTCTGCTGCGCCGCGAAGCACGCAAGGCCATCTCCAAAGATGCGTTGCTGCTGCTGTTGCAGCTGCTGCGTCGGTGTGGCGAAGGCGCTGCCGCTGCGTGTGCTCTCACTGTTGAGGTCAATCTCCGATGCTGCTGTAGCCAACACCGGTGTTGTCGTGGCGGCCAGCCCTCTTCCGCCTCCTCTTCGCGGTGCGGGTGCGCTCCCATGCATCTTCCATCCCCCGCTGACGTTTTGAGATAAAAGATCGCTGTCGTGGTCGCTGCCAGGACCTTTGGTGCGTCGGTGGAGGTGATGGTGGCTACGGGCGGGTGTGGCAGCCTTGACGTTGTTGCTGCCGCCATCCACGGTCGCTGTGCTGCGCCGAGAGCGGTGATGCTTGCGGCTCGCCCCTGCCAAAGCTGGATGATCGTCCTGACGCGGGTGTGGCCGACGGAGGCGGTGACAGTGCCGGCAGTACGTTCCTACCGGCTCGTCGTCAGCTGCTAATGGACATCCTTCCTGTACTCGCTGCGACTTCCCGTCCTTTCCATGAATGCCACCACCACCTGCTGCTGCAAGCTGCTTTTGCTGTCGCTTCCGTTGGGCCTTCTCATCGTGTCGCCGCTCCCGCCGTTGGGCTTGGTGCTTCTGTCGCTCGGCGAGCAGCGCCGCATCGGCGACGAGCTTCGCTGCCCCGGTTGCCCGCTTTGGATCGATGTAGGTGAATTTGTCGTTGACGCGTACACACAACAGACGCTGCGTCATCACGCCGCTGCCCTGCGAGTGAAGGGCCGCCCCGGCATAAAGGCCGCGACGGCGTGCCACGGCCAGAGCGGGGCGGTGGCGCGGGCGGGTGCGTCGGTAGCGGGCGAGGTGCCGGGCCGACATCGACACCCCGCCTGCAGTCTGGGATTGGCTTTCGCGCCGTGCAGACATGCTCGGCATGGCGGAGGAGAAGCGCATGACGTGGCTGATGCACACACTGTGCGAGGCGGAGGCGGTTGCCGGGTACGGGCCGTTGCCGAAGGGCGGGAGGGAGGGGCACTGCGTCTGCGTCTGCTGCGGGGACGCGTCCGCAGAGGTCGACGTCACGGCCATCAACGGGTCACGCGCTGAGGATTCGCCGTGCTGCCGAATGAAAGAGAAGGCCTGCCGGGGACGCATCGTACTGTTGACTTTACACGGGCTTCTGTCAGCGGATGTTGCTGCTGTTGCGGTGGACGGCTTCGTTACACGCGCAGTGCTTGGCTGTTCCGCACCTGCAGTGCCCGCAGCGGGCGTGTCGCGCGCCTCGCCGGGAGTCTGTCGTGGACCCTCGTCTCCGTCTGGTCGATACCGCCACGGTGCTGCAGGGATGTCCTTCACCGGGTGCGGCGACGGTATCGTAGGTGAGACGCCGATCTCAGCGTCCTTCGGCGAGGCACCCGCCGCGCTGTTGCTGCTGCCTCCATTGCTGTTATTGTTACTCGCACTCGTGTTCATGTGGCTGCCCCCCGATGCGACGACGACACCCGTGCCGGTGGGGACGCCGCACTGGTTCGGGAGCGCAAGGGCGTGTGGAGCCGCCGCAACGGCTGCGGGAGAGCGGCTGCGAAGACTGTCTCGGCTGCTAATACGCGGGACCCCGACCAGACTGTTGTTGTTGTTGTTGTTGTTGCTCAAAGTGAAGCGCTGCGAGGGCGGCGGCGCCACGCTCGTTAGTCGGGCCCCAGAGCCAAACGCGAAGCCGATCCCGGTTGCCGATATCACCGACGACAGCACCGACGCTGCGGAGGGGGTGGAGGGGGCGGTGTAGGTGGTCGAGGACGACCCGTTCGGCGAGCCCACCGGATTCTTCGCACTGCCGCTGCTGGGCGTGTGGTGCGAAATGCCCTCCTCAACGTCGGAGCACGTGGAGAAGGACGAGAGCGAGGAGGAGGAGGAGCAGCTACTGCAGCGGGAGCAGCTGCACACCCCCTCGCGGCTGTCGGTGCGATTCCCGCTCTTCACGCAGATGTTCGCGCCGTTTGACGTCGTGACGGTGGAGGAGGTGGAGGAGGCGGGCACCGCCGCGGCGAGCTTCCGCATGACCGGGTGACACACTGGACACGGTGCGTAGTAGTCGGACAGGTGAAAGCCGCCTCGCAGGTTCAGCCGGAGCGGTACGTCGAGCACTGTAAAGAGTGAATCAATCTTTTCTTCACCCGCACTGTTGATGTTCTTGCTCTTGCCACCGTTGTGGATTGCATCCGGTGAGGCGTGGTGTGCGAGGGAAGAGCGCCGCCGCACCTCCTGCTCCGCCTTCACCGGAAAGAGCCGCTTCTCCAGCTGGTAGTACACATCGTCCACCGCGTCGCTGTCGACGTCGTCGAAGTACAGCAGCGACGTGGTGGAGAGGTGAGGGCTGAACACCGCCCGGGCGGAGGCGGATGACGCGAAAGAAGACGTGGGGGGTGAGGTGAAGGCTTTGCGTGCTGCTGCTGCTGCTGTCGCTGTGGACTCGACCAGTGGCGACGTGCCTGTCCGACGTGTCGCGTGCACCATCACCGCGTTTCTTCCCGCTGCATCAGCGGTCGCCGGCTCCTGTCGGAGGCTAGACGGTGCAGCTGCCGTTGCAGCTCCTGTGCTGCGACTCGCATCATCGGGTGCCAACAAGCGTTTGCCGTTCAGCAACGGCGCTGGCATCGAGCGTTGACGTCGCCGGTGGTGAACACGTACGTAGCGGTGGTGGCGCTTCTCGCGCTGCTGCGACAGCGGTTGCTGCTGCTGCTGCGACGGATCTCCGCAGGGCTTTGTACGATAGAAGTGATAGTGTTTGGGGGCGGCAGCATACAGATCACACGGGACATCCGAAGAGGACCCTCCGTCGCCTCCTCCGTTGTCGTCCTCTTTCGCTGTTTGAGCAGCTTCCGCATCGACAGGGTGGTCCGCCGGCGAGGAGGACGGCACGGCGGTGCGGGTGACGCCCGGACAGTGGCGCATGGCTGCTCCCTTACTGTTGGCGCTGTGGTGGCTGCCGTCTGCTTCCCCGCCCACCCACGTGTCCGGCCCACCGGGGTGGCCATGTACGAGACACTCCTGCGGCACCGACCCAAAGGAGGAAGAGACGTACGACGCAGAGGCGGAGGTGGAGGAGGCGGTAAAGCTGGCGGCGCAGGACAGCGACACCTCCATCGGCTCGCCATCCACCCACGACCGCTGCGGGGCGCCGTAGAGCCCGCCGCTACGCCCCATCACGCTGATCATTCCCCGGCCACAATTGAGGAGAGACACCGTGGAGGGGCGGCGCGTGTAGGCGCCGCGCACGATGGCGAGCTCGATCGCGGTTCCCGGCGTCAGCCAGCTGCGGCGTCGACGGCTGTTGCTCCGCCGCTTCCCCCCAGCCCGCCTCCCACGCTTCATCAACTGCACAGCGCGGCGATTGGCGCAGTGGGTGACGGACGACATCAGATCTTCCTCGGCATCAGCATCGCCACCGCCGTTGATGTGCTCCGTGCTCGCGAAGGTGCCGTCTTCCTCCCCGCTCGTCGTGATGGAGCTGGAGCTGCGACCGCGGATGATGTTGCTGTTGCTGCTCGTGCTTTGGTCCGGCAACGACAGCTGCGTCACACAGTGCGGAGCGCCGTGACGCATCATCATGGCGGTAGTGCTTCCCTGCAACACAAACGCCCCCATAGAAGAGGCCGACGACACAGAGCCGAAGGCGCGGTGCGCGAGAAGCGGCGAAGAGACAGGCAACGAATGCGTCCCCTCCATCATTAGCGCCACTGCCGCCGCCGTCGGGCTGCTGCCGCTACTCTGGTGGGTGCGGTGTGCCGAGATGCTGGTCATGCCGGGAGTGGCGGTGGCGAGCCCAGTGAAGACCGGCGAGACTCGGCTGAAACTCGTAAACGGCGTGTTAGTAGCGTTGCTCGCGGCTGCTGCGGCTGCTACGGAGGTGAAGGTGATGGTTGTGGCGCCGGGCGGCGGACGGGGGGACATGCCGCTGCCCACGCAGCGGGGCACCGACATGGCCGCCGGCTTCATCGTTGTCATTGTCGTTGTCGTGGTTGTGGTTGCTGCTCTGTGCACCCCGCCAGTGTAGGCGGTGGCCTCGCCGCAGTGCGGGAATGAATGCGCACCGCTCGACAGGCCGGCGATGCTGCGGAACAACACGGGGGAGGCACCGCCGCCGCCGCTAAAGTGTGGATCGCGGGGCAGCGGTGAAGTCTCGCTTCTGTTCTTGCTCTTGTCGTCGTTGCTGCTGTGAGGCACGTTTGTCTCTGCTGTCGTGCGTCGTGGTCTTGGAATGGCCAACTCGGCGATGGGCGACAAGCTAGCCAGCTGCACCGTACTCCCAACCGGACTGCCGCTGCTTCTGCCGGTGGAAAGGACACTGCTCAGCTCCTGCGGAGAGGGCGGAACAGCACACGCAGGGCGGCGACCGTTGGCGCGCTGCTGCTGCTGCTGCTGCTGCTGCTGTAGAGGCGACGACACGCCTCCTCTTGCCGCAGCTTTGTCGACCGCACCACCCTTCGCGGACCGCCGAAGAGGCCGATCGGCGTTGATGGGGCTGCAGGGGTGGGAGCACATCCGCTCGTGTGCCTCGACCGCCGGCCACTCCGGCAAGACAAGGAGGCGTGGCGGCATCGCGGTCGCGTGGACGGCCGGCGCTGCCATAATCGCAGGGCCTGAGAGAACAAAGCGCGCTGCCTCATTCACCTGCTCCGTCGTCCGCTGGGCATCTGCCGTAGCCGCAGCGGCGGCGGTGGGGAGGAGGTGGGGGAGGTTGGTGAGACTGCCCGCGCCGTCCGTGCCAGGGCTGTCGCTCGAGTTCCGCGAGGCAGACGCCTTCGGCCGTAGCGCAGCAGCCGTGCGCGGCGGCGAGCGTGACGGCGACGGGATGGTCGCTGCGTCGTTCCGCGGGGCGGATGACTTCTCCACCTCCGTGCCGTGTGCGGGCGAACACGAGACAGCAACGGACGAAAAGGACAGCGGCGGCGGTAGCGGCGGCGTAGGTCGCAGGGACGAGAGGGAGGCGGCAATGGCGGCGGTTGCTGTTGCGTCAGCTCCGTGCGGCAGCGGCGGCGATGGTGCTGAGGAGGCACCGTGTGGGGTAAACTGCAAGAGAGGAATTAGAAACGGCGAGGAGCGGTGCTGCAGCGAATTATGATGACCAGCAGCAGCACTACTGTGCGGCTTCTGCTGTTGCGGTTGCTGTGGTTGTGACGGTGCTGGCGAGGATGACGCCGAGAACACGGTGGCGCTCAGCAGCGGGGTTAGCACCCCGGTGGTGAAGGTCGCTGCTCCAGACGAGGACGACTCGGGCGGGGTGGCGCTGCTGCTTGCGTTGCGCGCCCGCTCGGCGACGGGGCTGCGGCGGTCCGCCGTTGCCGGTGTCGCCAGCAACGTCTGCGCCGGCGCCGACCTCGACGGCCCATCGTTTTCTAGTGGCGCCGATGCGGGCGTTTCCGACTGGTGTTGGTGGTCGTGGAGGTCGGCGTAGGCGGACTGGTAGCCCTTTCCTCTGTTCCCGCGCCTCAACACGTCGTTTCCGCACCGACTCGGGCTGCCGATGGAGTCTCCTGAGTGTGAGCGCTCCGTTGCCAGCGGTGATGGTGACGACAGCGGTGATGAGGAAGGTGCAAGCGGAGCTGGGCGTGGTGCTGGCAGGGTCGAGGCCATGACCCGGCTGGACGTCGACGGCGACGCAACAGGGGAGAAGGACGAGAGGACGTACGTGGCGGCGTGGGAGAGTCGATGTTGCCGCAGCGCCCCCTCCCGCACGTGCGCGCGATTCAGCGGTGAAGGGCTCCTCAGCGATCCGTTGTCATTGTTGCTGTTCGTGTTGCCGCCGCTGGTGCTGTCTTTGCCAGACTTCGAAGAGGGTGAGGAGATGCTGTCGACCAGGTCAGGAGCTAACGGGAGGAACGACGGACCGGAGGGGGAGTAGGCGGCCGTGGTGGTGCTGACGATGGTGGTCGTCGCTGTCCTCAGCGTCGTGGCGGTACTGGCGCCTGCGGAGGGACGTCCGCGCTGTAGAAGCGGTGCACACGTCACTCCCGCACCACCATCGTGACCAGCGGCGGCAACCGCAGCAGCTGACGCGGCCGCCGTGCGCTTCTCCGATTTGAGCGTCGTGCTCAGCGGCGTCACCTGCGAGAGCGCGGCCGAAGAGGAGGAAGAGATCGACGAGACGAGGGACGCGTCCGAGAAATCGCCGAAGAAGGCGACGTGCTGCAGCAGCTGCGGTTGGTGACGGTGGTGCGAAAGGGCCGGCGGGGAGGCGGCAGTGGTCGTGCTTGACGCCGCCTCCGTCCCCTCTTCTTTCCTTTGCTTGCCTGCCCCGTCGTACGCAGCCGCCGCATTCGTGGGGCTCCAGTCATCGTTCGTGCTGCTGCCCGCCTCGCCCTCCTGCGGCTCTGCGGCGATGTTCAGCTCGTACGCGTCTTCATCCGACCCGTTCAGCACCGGCGCCGCAACGAAGGTGCCGCCGCGATGGGGATGACTGGACAGCTGTGCAGCCGGCGGAGAGGGGGCCGAGGCAGCCCCGCCGACCGTCGCCGCCGCTGACCGTGTCGCGGCGGATGGCGAAGAGGTCGAATCCGCTGCGTTTGCATCGATGAAGTCTGCGGTGGTCGCGTTCTGCTTCCGGTATCTCGGTAGGGCCACAGCGGCGGCGATGGACGGGACATGAGAGAGGAGTGGCGGGGGCCGGACCGCGGTCCAGTCGCGCGATGTCTTTGTGGGTTGTAGAATCGATGCTTCGTCATCCCTGCGCGTGCGGGAATGGGCTACGCGTGTTGTCGATGGCGCCGCCTGCGCACCACTGTTGCGTGCTTCGACAGCGGCACCTTCCGGGAAGCGCAGCTGCGGTGCCGTTTGCCTCGGCTCCTTCCTCCCGCCGCTGTTCGCTGCTGCGTTGTCGGTGTTGCCGCCTTCTGTAGCCGTTCCTCCACCTTTTTGAGGGGGGGTCGCACTCGCCTCGGAGGCCGTCGCGGAAGTGGCGGAGGTGTCGAACAACACAACAGACGCCGAAGACATTGCCGCGAGGACGGGCACGGCGATGGAGGGGCCACCGCCACACACCGCGAGCAGGTTGTGCCGTGTCAGCTCCGCGGAATCCGTCGGGAGTGAAAGGGCGAGGTGCGTCATCGGTGGCTCGTGCCGCTGCCGCTGCTGCTGGGTCGGAAGGGCTGCCATCGTGTTGCTGCGACGCGGGGCCGGACCACCAGATAGAACGTCCTCCGAGTCTGAACCCGTCGTCGTCGTCGTCGCTGCTGCAGCGCCAGTGGTGCCCCGCCGCACCGCGTTGGAAGGCGCAGCAAAGACGGACAACACGGTGTTGGAGGCGGTGGGCGTTGTCTCCTCCCACTCGGAAAGAGATACGTCCAGGACCCCCGTCGGCGACCCGTTCGGTGCGACCCGTGGCTGCGTCGTCGTTGGCAACGGCCCGCGAGACGCCGAGGCGCGATGCACCGTCGCTGCTGCTGCTGCCGCCTCTCCGGCGTGGCGTGCGCGCGACGTCGCGGCGGCGTTGCGACCTCCCCGCGGGGGTGACGGCGGTGCGAAGGCGTCGACGACTTGCACCGCAGACGGCGCCGTGGTGGTGGCGGGTGAGCAGCCGGGATTCGTGAAGGTGGCGTGGGATGACGAGGAAGCAGCAGCAGCAGCAGCAGCAGCAGGAGGAGGCGGAAGAGGTCCGTGGTCCTGCAACGACGGGATGTCAATTAAAAAGGACATGGGCGACATCTCTGCAAACCGCGTAGATGCCACGGCGGTGTTCACGCCCGAGGTGCGTTGCCGCTCCCCCTGCATATACGACGACTCCGACAGCATCGATGACAACGGCAGGGACGGGTTGTTGTGGTTGTTGTCGTTGGAGGGCGACGAGAGGTGCACGGACGGGGCGAGACTCGGCGACGGGCCGGCGCTGTTCATGTTGCTGGACGCCGCGGTCGGGGGCTGCGACAGCACCGAGACGGGTGCGCGCTCCACATGGCTGTTGTGGCCGCCATGGCGCAACTGTGGCTTGGTGGAGCTCGAATTTACCACGAAATTTCTATTTCCATCCTTGAGGAGAGGCGAGCAACGCTGTTGCTGCTGCTCGACTCCTGCTATGCTCCCCGCTTGGCCCTCCGTCTTCCTCGCGCTGGCTTCACTCCACGATGACACGTTCTTCTCCGCGTTGGTGCACGGGTGGCGCGGCAGCGGTGGCGCGTGTGCCGGTGCGGCGGAGGTAGATTCCGCGTTACTCGTCGTCGTCGCTGCTGTCGGAGTTCGGGACTGCTTCGGTGAGCTCTGTGGCATAGGCTGAGCAGCAGCCCTCGCTCACACACAGGGCTAGAGGAGAGAGAAGTATATATATATTAATCAACAATTGCAGATGTATATATGCGTGTGCGAAGGTGATCAGAAAAAGAAGAGAAAACCAGTAGGAGCGCAGAAACACTCCCCCGCTGAGGCAATTGAATTCGCTTGCTGGGCTACGCCTCTCTCATGTACATACGCCAGCAGCGTTAACAGAAGAAGCAAGCAATCAGATCAACACGCCTCCCTAAAAAAGACAAACAAACAAATAGCGGGAGCTTTACGAAGAGAGAATGAAGGAGCGGAACACCGCAGCAACAACGACAGCAACAACAAGAACCGTGTTAAATGAAAAATAATCAGACTAAAATATCGAATTAGAAGCGCGTCAACGAACACAGATCAAAACAGCAGCAGCAACAACAAGATAACGAAGGAAACGTATTTGTAAACTGCAGAAAGAGAGAAAAAAGAAATCGACACAGTGAGAGCAGAAGAGTGCGCGAGAGCGGCCTGCAATTACGCCGAAGACGAGATAGTTTAATGGGCGAAAGGCCGTACGGAGGTGGCGGCCTGAAAGCCGGGCAATTGGAATAAGTGTGCTGCGCCAACACACACACACACACACGGATAGAGAGAAACCTCCTTAAAGAAGACAGCTAAAGCACGAGAACCCTCAAAGAGAGAGAGAGAGAGAATAAAACGACAGCAACCACGGCAAGCGGATGAAACAAGTGAAACCTCCACGCGATCTCGTACAGCAACACACAACAACAACAACAACAACAACAACTAAGAAAGAGCAGAAGACCAGGAGTGGCGAGCTCAAGCCGATAAGGTAAAAGGCCGGGCGAGGAAGTAGACGTACAACGACGACGGAGTAGCATAGAAAAACAAACGGAAAGAAGAGCGCATGTATAATATATGTTTTTTCTTTTCACATTCACCTAACAAGTGGAGTTGCAAGCACCAGAAGCACGAGACACATGACAGGAGGAAGAGGAAAGAAAAGAAAGGAGGGAGATAATCGTTGACAACAACAACAACGACAATAGCAGTAAGATGGAGGAGACCAAGAAAACACCAAAGAAAGAAGCGAAAAAAAAAAAATAACAGCTGTCGAAGGAATGTGCGGAAGAGCGTGAAAGAGAGCGAGAGAAAGAAGAGAGGAGGGTAAATTATATTCGTTGTCCCAATGCATCAAGTTCGAGACGCAAAAACGAAGACAGCGGATACAGAAGAGAGAGAGAGGAAATAGTAGTAGTAATAATAATACTAGCAATAATAGGAAAAGCACACACACACACACATGAAAAAACCTGGTGGAAGAGAGAACTAGAGGCGGAGAAGGCTGCCAAAGAAGAAAGAAAGGTTAGGTGTTCACCAAGAAGAAAAAAAAGAAGAATACCAAAAACAGACAGCAGCAAAAACAACAAAGACACTTACGCTAAATAAATAAATAAATAAATATATATAGTCCTTTCTCGTTACTCTTCCTTTATTAGTACGTCAGCGTGTGGTGGCTTTTGAGCAGACAATAGTAACAAAGAAAGACGCAGGAGAAATAGAGACGAGTTATTAGTTTTAGCGTTGACGCTGCGGGGTGTTGTCGCGTACACGCGTGGAATTAACAAAGGAGGAGGAGGAGGGAGAAGAAAAAAGATACGTCTCTCCCCGTGATTACCTTCCGGTTTCGTGGGAGGGAGAAAATCTAGCGCCGCGCCGCTTTGAAGAGGAGGAAAAGAAAGAAACAACGAGATGGAATCGGCGCACCTTCACCTTAAACCCTGCCGCTTCACGTGAGAAGGAGAAGAAAGAAAAATGAAATGATGAACAAATAATAATAATAATAATAATAATAATAATAATAATAATAATAATAAGACAAAAGTAATAGCAACAACAACAACGACAATTAGAGTAGGCGACGACAGAGGAGAGAAAGCCGGCAACCACCCCCACTACCAATAAAATAAGAAGGCGACAAATATTATATATTGTGATATGTAAGAAGCGAGGAGTCGACACTTTCGCTTTTGCAGGAGCTAACTAATACGGGGTAAAAGAGAAAGAAAGAAGGAAAGACAACACACAACTAAAAACAACACTTAAAAGAACAACAAAGAACCGCTGCAGAGGAAAAAATGAAAGAAAGGCGATGAAGAGGAATCAACGTGTAAACAGAGAAATAGAGAAATAGAGAACTAGATATATATATATGAATAACTTGACGAAGGAACGACAAGAGTTTGCAAAAGAGAGCGGCCCCGCACGTGCCTTTGGTTTTCGTTGTCGTCTGATTCGTTTCTTGTTTTCCCCTTGGAACATATATATATATATGAAGGAAAGAAGATGAAAAGAAATCCAATAACAACTGCGGTTTGATCGCTAATGTAAAAAGAAGAAAAAGAAAACAGCAAAGAGGAGATGAAAGAGAGCGAACCAACGGTATTTTCCTTTCCCTTTCTTCTCTACCAACAACAACCGCAAAAGGAAGGAGACGAAGGATGTCAACAGAGGGAAAAAATGTATTGGGGCAGTTTTGCGTTCTTTGAATATATATATATACTTGATTCGTTCAAGTACGTGGCGGTTGCGCGTGTGGATTTCAGCGTATTCACTGCTGCGCGTGATGGGTGGAGTGGGGGAATGATGATGTGACGAAAGCGCCGGGAAGCCGGGAGAGGAAAAGACAAGACAAGACAAGAGTGAATAATAGAGGACGCGCGCGGAGACGGTGAGGGAGAGAGAGAGAGAGTGACACAGCACCACCAGCACAAGCGGCCTAAAACCGGAGTTCTATCGCATATATATATGTGTAGCTTTTCCTCCCCCCTTTTACGGAAGGGGTAAACACGTTCCATCACACACACACACACAACCCAGCCGGTTTTCTTCTTCGCTCGGTAAACACGCCGGGGGAAGAGTCGATGCTCCTCAACGAAAGGAAACGGCTTTCTAAACCCGCAAAAAAGGTGCTTCGTCACCACCTAGGCGGAAAATCATTTCGATAGAAGTCAATGGAGAAAACAAAAACAAAGAAAACAAGCAAAAGAACATCAGAGAGGCGGGCCGCACACCGCAGGAAACAGCAGTTCCACTTGAAGGCGACGTAGCAGGGTAAATAGCGTCCTGTCTCGTGCGCCAAGTTGACGAAGGCAGCGCTCTAGCCGACCTGCAAACGTGCGTAGTGCCATCCGCGCTTGTGTGTACGCCGTGTCGTAGCCGCTCTCCTCGGCGATGCTGGTGTCGTCTGCAGCGCCGTTTTGCGGAGCAGGCAACGCTGTTTCCTGCGTCACCGTACACGTCGATTTGGCGCGGAGCGGCAGCGTGAGGAGACACACGATGGTCAGCAGCTCGCACACCAGATGCTGCAGCTGGCGCATCAACGCTGATGACGACGGCGCAACCACCGATGAGGACGCGGCGTCTTCGGCAACGCCGCCTGTCTCTTCTGATGCATCATGAAGTCGGGCCTCTCCTTGCGCTGTAGCAGCGACATCTACGAGACCTGTACGTTCAATTCCGTCTGCATTTTGTGGAGGTGCGTGTTGGGCAGGTGAGGTGACGCCATCATCCACGCCGGTCGGGGATGCTCCCGCCGTTGCTTCAGCTCCTCCGCCATCTGCCCGTGGGGTACTCTCATTGGCCGAAGCCTCTTCCTTCTGGGGTGAGGGTCGTCGCTGCGCCGCCTGGTGTTTGCGCTTCAGCTGCTGGTAACGGGCAGAGGATGTCGCTCCGCACTGCCGGCGCACGCCTGTCGCCGCATCAGACGTCTCCGGAGGCGAGCCACGCAGGTTTGCCTCCGAACCGCCATCCGTGCGGTCCGTAGACGCGCTGGGGTGAGGAGACGGTGAGACGGCTGCATTCGCACTCTGCGGAGATGCAGCAGCAGCGGCAGCGCGGCGCAGTACCGTGGAAAGCCGATATTCCACCTTCGGCACGTAGGGTGGAAGGTATGCCGTAGCCTCCGAGTTCGCCGCGGCGCCAGCTCGCTCGCACACGACGAGGCCCTCCTGCTCCACGGCGCACAGTTCATCGGTCATGGCCTGCAAAGCAGCGAGTGTCCTGCGAAGCGTTGCGGCGATGTCGGCGGACGCAGCAGACGTGCAGCGCGGTGGCGCAGCGGCCCCATGAGCGTCTTTGCGTGGCGCCCCTTCACTGTCCGTCTGTGGTGGGACGGGCGTTGAGACTCGCCGACCCAAGGGTGCATCCGGCGCGACTTTGAGGAAGACGTTTGCCTGCTGCTTCTCGAGCGCCGCAACATCGTCAGCACTCTCGAAGGCGTGGATCGCCAGCGAGCCGTCCACCACCGTGGGGGAGGAGCGGCGCGTGGGGCTCCGCACTTCATTCTGCGCCTTCGCCGGTGCGTGGGCGTTGCTGGAAAGCTCTCCCTCCTTCAGCATCTGCGCCGTCGCCGCCCCGGCGGTGAGGGGCGTGGCGGCCAACAGCAGCAGCACCCGCAGAAGAAGAAAGTGCAGCCGCGCGTCATAGTTGACCAGCGTCGACACACACGCTGACGAGCTCACGAAGGTCGTCGTCGTGGCCTCGTCGCCCTGGGCGGCGGAGCTCAACGGTGCGGCAACACGCCAGTGGCTCACCTTGCAGTAGTCCACGGCGGCCTCGTGCGTGACGACGTCGGCTGCGGTGGCAGAGGGCGGCGTGTGCAGCAGGTACAGAGCAATCTGAGCATCGCGGAGCGCCTCCGCGTAGTGGCGAGCCCGCACCGCCGACGCGCTCGCACGACGCAGGGAGAAGAGACAAAGAGGCAGCGTGCCAGACTGCGCAAGCAGCGGTGGCGGTGGCGGCGCCGTTGTTGTTGGTCTGCGCGTGTAAGCGTGGAAGAGCTCATGCAGCGAGACACACGGCGGCGGTGATGCCGCTTTGGGGTCTTGAAGGGTGCCGGAGAGCGCTGCCTGCATGACGCGTATCGCGTCTGCCGGTTGGAAGAGCAGAACGGCGGTGGACACCTCCCACAGCATTTGAAGTGTCGACGTTGAGGCGGCTGCGTGGTGCGCCACTGGCGGCATCGATGTCAGCGTGCTCGAGGCTTCGGCAACGTCCCATGGGAAGAAAAGGCGGTACCGTTCTACGTAGGTCGCGAACTGCGCGAGGAGCACCCACACACGTGGAGCGTGCGGCGTGGCGAGCAGAGGCGGCAAAAGGAGTGGCGGAGCGGCGGTTGGGGTCGTGCTCTCCACGGTGGTGCACATCTCTTCCATTTCCTTTAAGAAACGTGCGGGGTAGACGACCTCCTGTTCCATAAGTCGGTCCGACAGCAGAAGCCCACACGCGCGCAGCAGGTGCGTCACGCCGTGCACGGCGAGATCCGCGGCGGGTGAGCGCACATTCCACTTCTCCGCTGTCGTCGTGTCGGTGGTGTCGGCGTTTGCGTCCTCTCGAGAGCAGCCGAACTGCACACGCTCCGCCGCGGCCCCGACGAAGAGGTGGGCCGCCGCTACGTAGTCCTGCGCCTCAGCACACCGCAAGGCGCGCTGCTGGACGTCTACCAGCTGCTTCCACCGGTGTAGCGCAGTCACGACATCAGCAGAAAAGAAATGCAAATGATGCTGCTGCTGCTGAGGATTGCGTGCGTTCGAAGTGGCAGAGTCAGAGGAAGCACTAGCCGCCGCCGCCGCTGCTGATGACGGGGAGCGAGGTGCGTGATAGAAGCTAGCGGCAGAGGCGGATGTCGGCGACACGCGCGTATTCCCTGCTGCTGTGGGGAGTCTCCCGTTTCCTTGTCCAGCTGTTGTTGGAGGAAACGCGCAGGCGTGAAGGCCAGAGGCGCCACCCGCACCGTGCAGACTGCTGTTGCTGCTGCCGCAGCAGCCAAAAGACGGATTGTGCGGTGGTGAGGCAGTGGAAGAGGAGGAAGCGAGTAGCTGCGTCCAAGGCGCGGCACAGACGAATTCATCTCGCACGAGGCGGCGTAGCGACTCCGGTGAGGCGGACATCACACGGTCTGCCCATGGATGCGGATACGGCGCCTTGTCGTCGTCAACCACGGACGCCCGCTGATCGGGTACTCCGCCGGCCGCCTCCCCCTGCTCGCGAGCGTGCTCGTGGCGTTGCAGAAGTGCGTGGATAGTCTCCTCTATACTCTCCGCGTAGAGCTGTGCTTCGCGGCCCACGGTGGCTCGCAGAACCAGTGTTTCCGCCTCCGCCACGCGACCGCTAGGAACGGTGCTCAATTGGTTTTGCTGGCGTACGCGCAAAAGCAGGAGATCCGCCGCATCCAGAGCCACGCGAGCCGCAGTGAGGCCAGCGCATGAAGGCGACAACCCGTTCGCGGCCCCGCCTGACTTGCGGCCTGACGTTGATGATGAGAAAGAAGAAAACAAAGCAGAATATTTCTGCGCGGCGGGTGCCACACGCCAGTTGTGCGGCGGCGACGGCAACGGATGACTTCGCTCAGCGGCCTGCTGCCTCAGCCGAGCAAACATGCGGTCAAAGCCGCCCTCTTCGTCCGCGTCGTCGCGGTCTTCGTACGGCGGAGTTCGAGCAGTAGTGGTGGCGGTTGCCGTAGCATCGTTTCCGTCAACACGTAATCGACTCTGCTGCCGATCTTCAGAGGAAGGGAACGGCGACATCCGCATGGGTAAGACGGCGTGCGAAGAAGACACGTGAGAATGGCCCTCGACCGACGCATCCCCTCGATCGGCGCGTACGCTGATGTTGTTGTCGTTGCCGCTGCTGCTGCTGCGTTGGTTGGCTACCGCTGAGACGACCTGCGCGAAACGTCTTTGCACAGAGAAACCGGAAGAGGGGGAGGATGAAGACGAAGAGGCGCCACGAGCGGCGTCAGACGCAACGGACCCGACGGCGGGAGGCTGCGCCACACTATTTGGGGGTGGCAGCTCCGCAAGAGCCAGCAGCTGCGCCAGTGAGGCACACCACGGCATTGCAGTCGGCGGGCTGGCGGCGGCGGTGCCGGCAATGCTGCTGCCGCTGCTGGAGAAGAGCTGAGAAAAAAAAGACGACGACGTCGCCGCTGCTGGCTCCGGCGAAGCTGCAGTGGTTGCTGCGTTGGCGCGTGACATCACGGCGCGCTGCAGCGACGCCAGGTTTTCATCCTTTGGAATGCGCTGCGCGAGTTCTCCGATGCGGGCAGCCTCGACGCGCCACGCGCTGTAGCTCAGCAGCGGCGTCGCGGCATCCTCCATCGCAGAGTTCGGCCCGCCTGCCGGTGCGGCGACGATGAAGAGGGAAAGAGGGAGAGAAGAATAGAAAAACAAAATGCTCCCCCTCAAAGCAGCAGCGCATTATCAGCTGGCGTATGAGAAAAGAGAAGGGAGAAAATAAGAAGGAGGTGGGGTGGGGTGGGGTGGGGAGGAGTAGTTCGCATCCCGTAGGCCGATTAAGCAGCAACAACAGCAACGGTCGAAGGCCACAACAGTAGCGGCAGATGTTTGCCGTTGAAATCCGCACTTACACCTCCTCCCCTCTCCCCTTCAACGTCCAGGCGCACCCACAGCTATTAATCAGTTGCGATACTACGACAACATAGATGCGGCTGTGCGTGCAGCGCGAAACCTGCCAAATACACGAACGGAGGAGGGGGGGGGGGGCAAGGCGGAATCGATCGATCGAGAGAGAACGCGCGTGTGCGCGACAGCGGACATATACGGTGTATCGTGATGGAGGTTTCCTTTCCGCTTCTTCCTCTTCTTGTCAGCACAAAAGCAGAAAAAGTGGAGGGCACAACAACCACAAGAAAGCACACAGAGTGAAAGCAGTCAAAACAATGCACCAACCAAGCAAGCAAACATCCAGCCCCACACCCATCGCGTCAGAGAGACAAATGGCCGCCTTTTCTTCTCGAATAAAAAGGCGCGCCTAAACAAGAACAGTAGCAAGGAAAGGAAAATAAGAATATGGTACTAAATAAGCAGAGTACAGCACCTCCAGCTTCAGTGCACGTGCGCTGAGACTAGTGAAACACAAAATCATCATAGCAGATGGTGGGCAACAGCAATAGAGGCAGAAAAGAAGGAAGGTTCAAGGAAGCAACGCAGCAGTTAATTGACCTGGAGAGAAGGAAGGGCAGCAGAACCCCCTCCCCTCTTTGATGGTCCGAATTCGACAAGCGACGCCGGGAGAGAACAGCCCCACTCACAACAACAACAACAACTGAAAAACCATGAAAAAACAAACAAAGGCGCTTCCGCTGCCGTGGCGTGCTTCAGAGCTGGCTCTGATCCTCCGCCGCGTCGTCCTCCTCGTCGCTCGCCGAGCCGATATGGAAGTTCATCATCCCAGGCGGTGACGTGTACGGCGAGGACGTCGCACCGAAACCCCCGCGACGGTCAGCTGCCAATTCATTTCCCGCAGTTCTCCTATTTCCGTCCTTGGTGCTACCGCTGACCAACCAGCATTGTTGGCCGCTGGAACCCGCTGCAGCCGCCGTGCCAGTTGCGGCACCCTCAGAGGAACGCATCCGCTGCGCACCGGAGGTCAGACGGTGCCCCCCGCATGCCCCACGCCATATACCGTTGTTGTTGTTGCTGCTGCTGTGCTCTGGTAAAGTGCCCGGCGGCGCAGACGGGCCGGGCGGACCATCGGGCGCACCGTCACGGTGGATGGGCCCCACGCCGTGCTGCAGCTGTGATGCACGGCTGCCCCAGAAGGAATGCCGCGCGTACGCGGAGCGCCACAGAGCCAGCTGTGAGGGGAGAAGGAAGTCCACCAGCGGACCGACGTGGTGGCGGTTGTACCTCAGCGAGAACTCCGCGTTGAGGTAGCCGGAGGAGTAGAGGGCATCGATCGAGAGAGGCAGCAGTCGCCGACGGAAGTCGTCATCGTCATCGTCATCGTCGTCATCGCCACCACCACCACCGTCGCTGTCGATGGTGTCTGCCGTCGCGCTTGCGGAGAGGAAGGCCGGAGTCGTGGACGACCCCGGCAGCGGCGGTGACCGGCGACGATGCGTGTGCGTTGTCACCTCGCCGTTGCCGGCCCGCCAACGAGTGGTGCAGTCAAACATATAGATGGCACCTGATGACGGCAACCGCTGCTGCTGCTTCTGCTTCTGTGGTGGTGGTGAGGTGGGCAAACTCGCGGAAGCGCCAGTTGGGTGTGCAGGCAGCAGTGAATGCGACGGCTCCTGCGGCGGCGCAACACTCGGCCGCCCAACCTCCCCCTCTTCGTCGCCTTCGTCGCCCTCCTCTCCGTTTTCGAGCAGCTGCGAATCGAGGCATTGGAACGAGACATCGACCGAGCTGAGGTTGGTAGTGAGGCTCGTGTCTGCGGCTGCCGGCGGTGGTGCCCGTGTTGGAGCGCTGGGATGGGCTGGGGAGCCAGCGGGGGACGGCAGACAAGGTGCGTTGACTTCCACAGCCGTACCGCTGCAGATAGGAGGAGTGGGAGCCGCCGTCGTGGACAGCAACAGAGCACACCACTGACCGAGCGACATGGCGCCGCGTGCGACGCCTTCCTGCTCCGCCTGCTGTTCGCTGTTCACCGCAAAGGTGCTGACGAGCCCGCAGTGCAGCAAGTCCAGCAGCAGTCGCACAAACTGCTCCGTAAACTCGAAGCAGGCGGGGTAGAGGCGGACGAGTTGGTAGATCGCATCGAGCAGCTGCGTGAAAATCGGGGACGCCTCCCGCAGCGCTGCGCTGGACGACGTCGCCGCTGGGGAGGGCGAAGAGGCAGACGATGCCGCTGGCGGCACACGCCGACCACCACCACCACCGCCACCCGCGCCGCCGCTCTCCATTTTCTGCTTCAGCGCTGTGGTTCTTTCACCCACCGCACCCATCGCACGCCGCCAGAACTGACGCCACTGCTGCTGCTGTTTACCATCTTTGCTCGACCCATCCATCTCCTTTCCGTCCCGCACCACCGATGCTGCATCGGCTGCGGCCGCCTCGGAGAGCAACTGCGCTGTTGCTGCGTCGCTGTCGTCCAACCAGACTTCAAGGTCATCCTCGCTCGGCGTCTCTGTCGCCGTTGCCGCTGCTGTTGGTGCTGCTGCACCGCCGCTGTCGTTTGCTTCCGGCAGGTTGCCAGGTGGCGCTGTTCGCGTCGGCATGGCAGCCAAGGACCCCGCCTGTGCCGCTGCCCCTGTTGGCTCGCCTGAGCGGGGGCTGAGTGGGCTACTCCGCTGATCGTCGTCGCGGATGCGCGTTGCGACCCTCGTCCCTGCATCCACCGCGTCGTGAGTCGCGGCGGCGGAGCGGTGGGCGTTGTCGCCGTCCCTCCTCGCCGCCGCCATTTCCCAGCCGCCGTTTGCATTCCCGCGCACCGCCGTGGATCGCGTCTGCAGCGGGTGCCCAAAGCACAGCAGCTCCCTCTCCAGCAACACACACAAGCCTTCAACGGTGCGGTAGTACGGATCGAGGAGCAGCTGCGCGAGGAGGCAGACCTGCGCGGTGCGGTCCCAGCCGTCGGAGCAGTTCACAAACACCACCTGTGCCAGCGTGCGGTGCGCGCTCGGCCCGAAGGAGGCGACACTCGTGTCAAAATGGGGATGTTTCGCCGCCGCCGTAGCAGCGGCAGTCCTGCGAAATCCACCTCGACGAGCCCACCACGCCGGCGCAGCCGCCGAGGCACCGCCGCTGCTGTGGTGCGGTCGAGTTGGGCGGCTGTACGACGAGGCGGGAAGCCAAAAGCGGGTAAAGGCGTGCCCGACAACGTACGAGAAGCAATTCGCCATCGCACCGTTGTGCACCATCGCCGGGACGTAGAGCGGGTCCGTCGGCACCCCGCACACACGCCGCGCCGCGACGACGGCGGTGTTCAGCAGCCCGGCTACGAATCCCAACCATTCCTGTTGCGCGGGTGAAGTGACGGCGGCGGCGGCTGCGTTTCCACTCGACGTCCGCATCGAGACGGCGGACGGCGACGATCTTTCCATACCCCCGTTGCCACTACCCCCGCTGCTGTCGCCGGCGCCTTTACTTCCGCCGATGCTGAACGAGAAAGGAAAGAAGATGGAAGAGGCGGAGGCTGCGCTGTCCGTCTTTTCCACACCATTTATCTCTGCTGCTTCCTCGTCGTCGTCGTGACCACCGTCTTCGTGCGGCTCACCGCCACCGCCGCCTCCCTTTCTGCACGCCGCAACCGCACAGGAAGCTGTTGCGGGCTGCGTGTGCGTTCGATCTGTGCCGGAGCGCGCGGCGACCGGGGCCTGCTGCACAACGTCGAGGCACCGCACCCGCTCCTGCGGCGGGTTCTCCTCGTCGTCCTCCGCCTCCGACGCGACATCACCTCTCGCGTGCGAGGGCAGCGGCCTCTGCGTCTCATCTCCCCCTCCGATGGCGGTGACGATCATCGGTTCCTGCGGGTGTCCCACTGCGGCGGCGGCACCCCTCCTTGAGTCGTGTGGGTGGGCCGAGCTGTACTGATGTGCCGGCTGCGGTTGCTGTGCGGAGGGCAGCAGCGGCGGGGCCAGCGTCGGTCCTGGTCGTACCATCGTGGCACTCCTCTCCGCCGCCGCCACCACCGCGGCGTAGGGGGGCTCTCCGCCACTCAACACATACTGCGTCTCCCGCCGCGACCCCCCATCCCCGCTCAGCTTGTACGGCACGTCCATCAGCGACCGCCGCAGCCGCAGCCACGCCTGACGCATGACGTGTATGTTCGGCAGACCCGCGTACTCCACACTGCCAAAGGGGTAGAGCAGCATCTCCATCGTGCCCCCGCCGCGCATCATGTTCGCGTAGGCTGCCGTGACGGAGCGCAGGTCCATCACGACCAGCTGCTGCGCCGTCGTGCCCGCGGCGGCAGCGAAGGCGCTGAGAATGAGGAACGGCACATCCATCAAGGGGATGGCGGTGGGTGGTGGACCCCGCTGCTGCTGCTGCGGCAGCGGCAGTTGGCGTGACGCCGGTGCAGACTCACCACGCTCTGCAAGATCGCTACTGCTGCCGCCACCACGGCGCGCGGGTGCTGCAGCAGCTGCTGCTCCTCCAACAGTGGGACTGCCGTTGAAGCGGCCCCCCGTCATCATCGACGCGACGTCGAGTGCGGCCGGTGCGGTGGAGTTCACAAACAGCCGGGCGATGGCCGGCTGGGCGCTGCGCACCAGCACCCCACCGGTCGGCGCGTAGAAGAACGACACGGCCTCGACGCGGCTGGAGAGGCGGTGCTGGCCGTCGAGCTCGCCCAGCTCCATCGCCTCCGCCACCGCGGCTGGGACGACGAAGCGGGAGGGGTAGGTGGGGCAGAAGGCGAAATCGTTATTGGCGCTCGTGAGCGTCCACCGGTCAGGCGCGAGACCCATCCGCGCAAACTCACGTGCGGGGTCGTAGAGCCAACACGTGTCGGCGAGGGAGAGGGGGGCGGGTGCTGGGCAGGTTTGGGGGTCCTCCACTGCCTCTTGCGCATCGTCGTCGTCGTCGCGTAACAGTGCAACGGTGGCGCTGGCGGTGGGTGCGTGCTGCAGCATCGTCATGGCCACAGCCACGTTCTTCAGAAAAGCCAGGAGGAAGGGCGACGCGGCGCTGCCGTGCGGGAGAACGCCGGCGGCCACCAGCACCAGCGGCACCATGGACCAGTGCCGGCGTGCGCTGGCGAGAAACCGGTTCCCAAAACTCGAGAGAGACGTTGCAACGGTGGCGGTGGTGGATGCGCCGCTTCGAAGTCGTGAGGACGCCACTGCGCTATCAGATGGGGAGGAGGCGTCTGCTGCGGTGGCGGCGGCTACACGGCTCTGTTCTGCTGCTTCGTCGCGTGCTACGTGGTTGGCAGCCGCGGATGGCGGCGACGAGCGGAGCGGCGCCTCCAGCAGGTGGTACACGTACGTGAGCGTCGCCTCATCCGCGAACTCGAGCCACACCGTTGGCATCGACTTCGACTCGAGCTTCAGCACCGCGGCCGGCTGCGAAGAAGAAGAAGTGCGCGCCGTCGTGGCAGACATGACAGCTGCTGCGGCTGTCAACGCCACCGCCGCTGCCGCGCTGCTCGCTGCGCCACCGACAGCTGCCTTGGTCGATGCCTCGGCTCCAATGTTGTCGGGCGAGAGCACCTGCGCCGCATCACCGCAACCACCACCACCGTCGGCGGGGCTTCTGCCGTCAGCGCTGGCATCGTTACTTGTCGGAGTACAATGGAAGAGCGAGGTGAAGTACTGTTGCACGCTACGCCGACGGCTCTCGCTGCGGCCACCGCACAGCGTCCCACTCTTCTCCCCCAAAGCAGCAGCAGAAAAGGACGATGCACGGGTCGCGCTGCGTGTCTTTTGCTGCTGCTGCTGGAGCATCTGTTCGAGGAAGGGACGCAGCGTGGTGTGCGTTCGCATGGGGCCGCGCGCCGCACCGACCCCACCGTCGCTGCTGTAAGATTGGTGGTGCGCCGACGCAGAGGGCGAGAAGGCGGCGGTCTCTGTCAACACAGCAGACGACGCAGCGGCACGTAGGCCGTGCCGGTGCTGCCGCCGCTGCTGCTGCTGCTGTGCTCGCAGGGCCACCACCTGATCCTCTTGGCGCAGAAATAGCTTATGCGCGTACTTCTCGGCAAAGACGCCGCCGCCGTCACGGCTGACGGTGCATGCGGTGACCGAGAGAAGGCCAACGCGTGGCAGGAGCAGCAATTCCGTTTCCTCCACGTCGTCGTCGTCGCCCTCTTCCCCTCCCTCGCCCTCGCCCTCCCCTTCCACGTCATTTTCACTTACCGCCGCGGCGTATCTCTCTTGTGCGGTCCGCCCTCGACGGGGGTGCGCGGCGCGCTGGCCGTTCAGATCTATTGCCGAGTGAGATTGGCGAAGCTGCTGTCGATGCCGCTGCCGCTGCCGCGCCCGCCTCTTCCGCACCTCCTCCGTCGGCAGCGACCGAATGATGATGTCCTGCTCCGTGATGTAGAATCCACAGACGGCGTTGTACAGTGTCGGGTCGTTGATGATGTCGCGTCCGCCGCTGCCGCTGTACACGGCCGTCGGTGCCCGATGTGCAGACGGCGCCGTCACGGCGGCAGCGTGCATTGCGAACGCCTGCGCGAGCTGCGAGCGCGTTTGCTGCTGCTGCTGCTGCGGCCCGCCGCCACCGCTGCCGTTACTGCCCGTATTCGCTGCGGTGTCGCTGGTGAACGCGAGAGCCTCTCGCACTCCGCGCTGCGCCGTTGACTTCACACTCCGCCACAGCGTTCGCGCGCCTTCCATCATTAAGCCCCGCAGAAGCTGCTGCGACGAGGCAGGGCCCGCGCCACCTCCGTTTGCCTGGTACGCGGCGCCTGCACCCGCCTCGTAACGCAGGAGGTACGTTTGGGCGTACGTACCGCCGCCTCCGCTGCCGCCGCCACTGCCGCTGCCGCCGCTGCTGCCGACGACCTCCCCGCCGCCTACGCGCCGCTGCTTGCGCGTAAAGGGATCATACGAGTAGCACCAGACGTGGACGTAGTAGGGTAGCAGGTTGAGTGTGTCGAGCGTGGCCAGCGAGGGAAAAATCTGTCCGCGGTGGATCAGCTCGAGCTGACGGTGGGCGACGGCGACATTGCCCGCCGGCGGTGCCGAGCTCGGCGGATAACGTGACGGAGGGGACATGGGTGCGCTGCAGAGCAGGACCTGCGTGAGCAGCTCTGCCAGCACCGCGGTAAAGGACGCAGCGGCGTAGATACCTCCGCGCCGCGTGTATGGCGATGTCAGAGGAGGCGGTGCTGTTGAAGGGCCGGCTGAAAGCGGTGCTGCGTTGACCGCCGAACCCACCGCTTCATTATTCTGCATGCTATTGCGTTGCGCACCATCATCATCATCATCATCATCAACGACAGGAAACAATCGGTGCTCCGATGCGATCATCGACGACGAGGAGGATAAGTTCGTGTTGGTAGTATACGTCGTGGTGGAGTACACGCCCGGCCGCGCTGAGAAGTCCGTCGTGCCGCCACGCACCACTGGCACAGCTTGCGCGGCGGATGGCGCGAGCGTAGGCTGCCGTTGTGCGACGTAGGCCAAACCTTCCTCTTCGTGCTCTGCTGCTCGCACGTTGCCATCGCCGTCAGCCGCTTCCGTGCCACTTGGGCTGCTCTCCCAGGACTCTATCCGGCTTGGTGGTCGGGAGGCGGCGAGTGTCGGCGACGGTGTGCGATGCCCGCTCGCCGCGGCGTGTATCGCTTCCACCGCCCCACCTCCTTCTTTTCGTTCCGCAGCGGTGGAGCGTGGAGACAGCGCCGTATGGGCAACGACGGGCAGATTCAAACACGCATACGCAGCAGCAGCCCTCTTCACAGGGGAAGAGGAGGCGGGGGCCAAAGAAGACGGAAACGGCGGCGCCGCGGTGGCGGCTGTGCAGCGGCGCGCTGCCGCATCCCTCCGCCTCGCCGACACGACGGAGCCCACTAGACGACCGGGGACGATCTGCAGAAGCTCCGCCGCCGCTGCCGCTGCCGCTGCTGCTGTAGGGACAAGCGTTCTTGGCTGCGCGTGCACAGACCGCCCCGCTGTCGTGGGCGGCTGTTCGGAGGGCACACCCGACCCACGGCCCTTCTCCTCCTCGGCAACCCGCGTGCTGCACTCGCCGCCGATGGGAGCCGTAAGCGGGCAGAAGGTGCGCTCTTTGTGAGCTGGCACGGTGGCCCGATCCGCAGCTTCCGCGACCACCACCACCGCCGCCGCCACCCCCGCCGTGTACGGCCGGCGCGCGTCGGACACGGAAAAGCTGGCCTGTGAGGCACTGCGCTGTGGCTGCTGCTGCAGCGTACCCTGCGGTTGGAGCTGCAGGGACCAACACGGCCGCGGTGAGGACGGAGACGACATCGGCGAGGCCACAGCGGAAGACTCGAGGCAGGTTTGCTCGCGCCTTGGTGAAGCAGCAGCGGCAGCGTCGGCATTTTCTTCTGTGTATCCTTCACGGCCAGCAGCGAACGGAGCATCGGCGTCCGTCACGCTGCGAGAGTCGCTGTGATTGCTGTTGGTAGTAGAGGTAGGTACCAAGTTTGCTGCGGCCGCCTCCGTGGCCGCCTGCATCCACACGGCCCACACATCCAGCGCAGTGTAACGCAGGTCGTACATCGGCACTGGCGTCGCCTCCACGTCGTTGTCGCTGGGGTGACGGCAGTGTGCAGCTACGGAAGGTGCCGCCAAAGGGATTGCTGCCGCACGGCGCATGCGGCGAACCAGATACGCGCCCCACTCCTCCGCGAAAGAAGGGAGGCGTTGAGATGATGGCGAGGAGGGGACCGGTGCGTCGTGTGGCTCTGCCGCTTGTTCCTCTGCACCCTGCGCAGGCGCCGGGTGAACGCCCGCTTCTTCACTCTCCCCCCTCACCGGTGAGCCTGCACGTCCGCGTGTCGCTGCGCTCGTGTGATAGGAAAGGGAGAAGTCGAAGGTGAGGAGCAGCTGCTCCACCAGCGTTACAGGTGTGACGTGGTAGGTAGGGCGACACGGAGGGATTGCAGTAGTGGTAGTAGTAGTAACGCGTGCTGCATCTTCCGCCTTCACGTTGTCTGTATGCGATGGTGGCGGGTCTCGCCGCCGTGGCTGCTCCGTGACGAAGGGAGAGTCGTGAACGGGGGCGAGATTGGGTTGTGTCGGCGTGCTGAGCGGCGGAGAGGAGGGCTCCGTGGTGTCCACTGCAGCCGCCGGCACCACCGAGGGAGTGGTGGGAGACGACAGCACAAGTGAGCCTGTCGACCCCCTCAATCGCTGCGGGCGATCCGTGGTGGGGTTGCCCTGGCTGCGGTTGGGGCGGAGAGCCACGACTGCGCTATCCGGTTCGCGCAAAACACGGTGCCAAAAGCAGAAGACAAGCCGCAGAAGACGCAGCGCAGACGGCGACGATTGCGGCGACCTTGCTGCTGCTGCTTCTGTGGCGTTATCCGTCGTCAGCCAGGCTTCCTCGACCTGTTCTCCGGCACCAAACAAGTACGACAGGAGGCTTCTGTTCCAGCGCTGCAGGTGTCGCAGGTGCGCCGACACGACGGCGCAGGAAGGTCGAACGTGCTCCCCCGCTGCAGCAGCGTCTGCGTGACCATCGTCGCATTGCTCGTGTGACCGCACCGGCGGCCGCGATTCCGCTGCGGACGGCCAACGCGCTCGCGGAAGCGCGCCATCCCGTGGAGGAGGAAGCCCATGCGGCGAGACCGGGGGGAGCGGCCACACATCTCGACAGACGGTCTGCAGTCGCCACACTTCGCTGTCTTCCTTTCCTTTGCCGCCGCTGCTGCTGCTCATTCGATTCCCCGCCTCTTCCCCGCTGTTCTTGGTGCAGTTGGCGCTGCGAAGGAGCACCAACAGGTCGCGAGAGGCCAGAGAAGGCGGCAGCCATACAGCAAACCAACGCACGTTCGTGTCGACCGCCTCCCGCACGCACACGTAGACGACTTCGTTGGACGTAGCTGCCGCCCCGGCCGCACTAGAGGAAAGCGAAGGCGCCAAGGCGTCCACGCGTTCCTCTCCTTCGTCGCTGTCTGTCTCAGCGCTCGCCCGCTTGTCTTCTGTTTCTTCGCCGTGGTCGCGTGTCGATCGCTGGGAGGCAGGTGGTGCTTTGGTGGGAACAGCAGGCACTGCTAGCAAGCACGGGTAACCCTCGCGGTGCAGCACCCGCCAAGGATTCACGGGCCCTGCTGCCGGTTCGTTCACTGCGCCGCCGCCGCCAAAGTCCAGAATAAGGAGCACCATCATGTTCCCGCTGCTGGGCACCGCGATGAGTCCGGTGTGCTGCGACGCTGCTGGGCGGACGAACTCAACCGGGGCGGAGGCTGCGCCACAACACAACGCCCCCAGGGCCGCCTTGGCGTCGACGACCACCATCGTAGCGATGGATCTACAAGGCATCTCTCTCTCTCTATATATATGTATTCCACCGTCTCGTGTGTCAAATCGAAGCCGGTTCGGCGCAGAGGAGCCGCGTTCAGCAGACTGGAGAGCAAGAAGAGAAACGAGATGATCCCCACCTCAGCGATAGCATTGAGAAAAGTATAGAAATATATTATTCCGTCGTCAGAACACGCGTCGCGCACGCCGAGGCGACAAGTTTCCCCTTCTTCCCGCTTTACGTACGAAGGACGCACCGCTGCGCTGTGGAGCACGCATCGGCAAACCTACACCACCACAACAACAGAAACCGCAGGAACTCGATCGAAGCGAAGGTGCGATGTAGCCGTGTTCACCAAAGGGAGAGCGGGAGAGGGAGAGCGCGATGCAGAGCTGTGTGCGCTGCCGTTGCGGTGGCCCAGTGCAGGAAGGAAGTGGAGGGGGGAGGGGGAGGAGAGAGAGAAGCGGGGAGCGATGAACGACGCAGCGCGAGAGAAGGAGGCGGTGTGCACGCAGCTGGCCGCGCGTCTGCGGGAAGCACACAGTGCCCTGCACGCAAAGCCAGGCAGACGCATTCACACCACACAGCACAGCGGTGCGGTGCAGTGCCCTCACGAAGTAGTCGCGGCTTCGTTGCTGCTCCGTCGGCACAGCACAGCCGAGACACACACACACATAGCAGAAGCGCAGGGGAGAGCGTCCACAGGCCGCGTCCTTGCAGCGGTAGTTCCGAAAGAGAGGGCGGCTACACGCCTTGCCGAGTAAGAAAAGAAAACAGTGTCTCGGCAACAACAGGGGAGGGCGAGGGTCAGCACACATACACATGCACACATACAGGAAGCCAGCAGCTCCGCGCAAACGAGCAGCCGATCGTGAGAGATGCAGCGCTCGTCCCACAAGCCGAGCAGACGAAGACAAGCACCGATGCCTGTGTGTGCATCGGTGTCAGTGTCTGTGGCTGCGCCTGTGTGGCCGTGTGTCTGTGCAACGTGCATTACGTGCCCACACTCACACCTCCGCCACACCGATAACCGGGTTGCCGCGGCAGGGGACCGCCCTGTCCGAGGACAGCTGCGTCGCCCACACCGTCCGGCCGGTGCCACGGTGTCGCGCGGTCCGAGTCGAAGGAAAATGAAACACACAAAAAGAAGGCGCATCGCGCACGTTGCCCCGTCAGCGCCGCACTCATCCACGTCGGTGCCGCTGACGTCTCCGCACGACCACCGCCGCGGGGCCGTCCACCTCCGGCCGCGCTCCAACGAGTGGAACGGGCAGAGAGAGAGTCGGGCGTGCGCAAGTGCACGGCTGCGCACATGGTCGACCCCGACCGCCGCGGTTGCCGGAGAAGCACCACCACCCACCGAAGCTCCAGCGGTTCTTGTCTTTCCGCGCCGAAACAGACCAGTATCGCCGACGCGAAACGCTCATGCATGAGAGAGGCAACCGCCTTCGCATTCCAGCCTCCCAAGACAAGTAGCATTCAGGCAGCTGAGTTCGGGGAAAGGGAGGGAGTGACACGTGCCATCCTTCTGGACAGCTGAAGGCTGAATTGTTAAACATGAAGAAAAAAATTTACATCGGAAATGAGAAAAGCACGCATGCAAGAGAAAGGGAAAGTCGTTAGGAAGAAACGGCCGCTGCACGTGGGCACCGACGCAGGGTGCCCCGCCGGAGTCGCGGCGAATGTCGTGGGTTGCGCGAGGGCGCCCGCGGCATCGCACGTCGAACCACAGGCGCAGTGCGAGGGAGAGAAGAAGGAAAAAGGAGGAAAACATGTTTCCATTGAACGGGTACCACACACGCCGTGCGCCCTCCACACGCCATAGCGGGGGCACCAGAGCGCGTCGCACCCTCAGACGCCATTGACGCTAAACGTACGGCACCACCCTTCAACAGTGCTCACCCGATAAACGTTGAGGTACACCATCCACATCACCAGGAGCACGCCTAGCACCGCTGCATTGGACAGGGAGAAGGGCGCTGCTCTTGATGGGGACACGAAGAAACAAAAGGACGACGGTAAACGCATGAAGCGAGTGCACATCAGCTCTATGCACGCTGCGCCGCGGCCGACCTCACATGCTCCTCGCCGTTCTACGCAACGACGCGCTCGGCAACGCCTATCCGCACAGGCGGCAGAGTCGCGGGTAACGGGGCCATCACAAACGGCACAAAGGCAGGTGAGGCGGCACGCGGTGCGGAGGGGCGTGAAGCGGATAGAACAGGAAAGGAAAGACAGAAGAAAGAAGAAACAAAGAAAAAAAGCCGCGCTCGTGCGAAGGAAACGCAGCGTTGAGGCGGAAACGCTTCCGCATTAGAAGTGGCGCTCAACTTCGTCTTTGGGCGTCGATGTGCTGCGGCGAACACCACAGCGGCGCGTCGGCCCATTTAGGATGCTCCACCGCTCCTCCGCCACCGGAAGAGTAAACGGATAGCGGGAGGACGGGTCACACCCTTCAGCCTTCGTGACCTTTGTGGAGACGCACAGCATTTTCCGTAGCAGCCAAAGTCCTTTGCCAAAAAAGAAAAGAGAAGAAAAGGAACAGTAACATACATCACGCTTCGTCCGTGCTGTTCTTTCGGTTAACAAGTGAATGCGTCCACGTGCACAGACACAACGGTAGGACGGGGAGCGAAGGACACGGATACGCATGTATGAACGTGGTGTTCTCAGTAGCTCATACATGTACGTACGGACACCGTTGCATCGATGGACCCAGTGGGCATGCCATCCCCCACCGCCTACCGCTGCTCACTTGTCGAAAGCAACGCCTCTCCGGCGCGGAGGCACGCAAAAGCAGCTGCTCCATTGTTAATGAAAAGAGAAGGATAGTCGAAAGGAAATAATAATAAACAAGCAGGTACGTGGAAGAACGGAACACCTCGGTAAACCATCCACGCCGTCCTTCGCCGCAGTCCGCAGCGCGACCACGCCAGCTAGATCAGGTTCCACAGGACAGACGCGCACAGCAGTGCCAGCATCAGCAACCCACTTGGGTTGACCAAGCTCTGCCAGTACGCCGCATCACCCTCGGAGATGCATTGAAAGCCATCCGTCAGCGTGTAGCCGCTGTCGCACCTGATGCACTTCGTGTCGTTGCCCGCTGCACACTGCGTGCAGTGTACCACATCGCAGTAAAAGGGGCTGGCACTGCTGCTCGACACCTTGTCACAGGCATTCGCAGTTGCACAGGTCTTCGCGCTCACCGCGGGGTCCACGGTCGGTTTCAGAGCCGCGCTCCAAGTCGCCAGCACGCAGCCGCAGAACTTGTTGCCGGTCAGCACCAGCTGCGCCAGCGCCGTCATCCCGCTCCATTCCGGGGGCAGGCTGCCCGACATGCCGTTGTTGCTCAGCACCAACTGCGTCAGTGCGGTCATCCCGCTCCACGCCGAAGGCAGGCTGCTCGTCAGCTTGGTGTTGCCCGACAGCGAGAGGGTCTGCAGTTGCGTCAGCTTTCCCCAGCTCGCCGGCAGCGCCCCGCCAAAGAGGTGGCCCATGGCGTTCGCCTCGAACGACTTCATAGCCACCTTGGTGCCGTCCAGCTTCACGGCGAGCTCCGGCAGGCTCGACAGCTTGGTCAGCTTCGACGCCGAATCTGTCAGCTTCACCGACACCGTGCCGTCGTCGTTGCACGTCACGATGCCCTCCCACTTGCAGTAGTCATCGAAAGGAGTGGGCTGAGGCAGACCTTCCATCGCTGTCACGAGGGCCTGCAGGAAGGTCAACGTGGTGGTGTCCCCCGGCGGCACAGGCGGGTTACCGCTGCTCGAGGTCTCCGCACCGCTGTCCGCGGCGATCGCCAGGTGAGGGCCGAGAACACAGCACAGGAGAAGAGCGCCGATGGCGAGCGCCTTCCACGGCTGCGGAGTAGCGGCGAAGGAACGGCCCATGCTGCTGTCCGGTTGGCCTGCTCGGCGAGCAGAGACGGGCGACGGGAGAGCGGTATCGAAGGCGACGTGAAAAACAGAAAGAAGAGCGAAGCGCAGTGCACAAGGGGGCTGAGGAGGTCCCTTTCAACGGCCTTTAGATCACGAACTCGGTAGATGGGGTTTCGGCGAGAAATAGCAAGGGGGGGGGGGGAGGGCGAGTGGCGTGCGCGTTGGCAGCGAATGCAAGGGGAAAGACAATAATGGTATTTCAACACTTAAAGAGAAATAAAAGAGAGCAATTAGAGAAGGGTTAGCGTGGACTTCTATGCAGCCGCCGGATGGTGTAAGCGGTCGGTGTGGCAGCCGTAGGTGTGTGTTTTAGTGTCATCGACGAGAAACGCAGCGTGATGGAAGAAGGGCGTTGACAGCGGAGGAGAAGTGGTTTCGGCGAGGAGCGCGGGGAGGGGGGCAGCACGTTTACGCGAAAGGGGCACGCACTCGTCAAGCATGTGAGGGCCCAATCCACGTGTACGCGTGAGCGAGAACAACGGCATCGCATGGCGAAGACGGCTCGCTTTCAACGCACCACCCAGCAGAACCCCGGGGGCATTTGGGTTGTTCGTCTTCGCCATTACGCGCACACGGCCGCGTTGATGCTTATCCGCGAGTTCATACACCTCGCCGATGTCAAGGAGGGAGGAAACACCTGTTCAGAGGAAACACTCGGCGCTGCAGGAGGTCCTGCTCGCACACCAGCGCATTTCGCAGAACATCCCCGTCCAAGCAAGGGGGGAAAGCAGCAGTAGAGAGGAAGACGGAGCGCGCTGCAGAGAAAGGAAAAGGAAACGCGTTTCCGCCAAGACGGTCTCCGTGGTTGCCGCCACAGTCCTTCGCCCTTTCAAACGTGGAAAGAAACGGCCTTGAAAAACGACCAGCCCGTTGGTAGCGATCTCGCTGGGCCCGCATCCTGCCAGTGGGAACGCGAGAAGACACGCCCACCGAGCAACAGCGGCCGGCAGACACCGCAGCACCAACAGGAATTGCACGGGCTCGTATCGAGCTCCACTCGCGTGGGTTACACCCGCACGGTCGCCTACCGGGGGCATCGGCCACGAGTAGCAGCGCCGGAGCCCCCTTATGCGGGAGGCAGCGGCAAGACGGCGCTGACAGCGGAGTGCACATGCCTGCGCCGGAAGGGCGACGAGCGGGCGCGGGTCTCGTAAAGGCCGTTTCGTTTCGCGTGGGACGCCGAAAGGTGAAGAAGGATGAGAAGGGAACGACAGGCGCTAGCGGAGGGACAGACAGACAGAGAGAGAAAGCAAAAGAAAGCCATCGAATGCGCGCACGACGCACATCTCAACTGCTGCTCGTGCCGCTGGGAGAGCAAGGCTGGACGAGCATGCTGCGTCGTTCTTGTCAAAGGAGTCTGATGAGGATCGAGAGGAGAAGCGGCCCTTTCGGGCAGCAAAAAAAGAAAACAGACACAAGGGAGTTAAGCACAAGACGAAGATGTGCAGAGAGCGGTTGCTGCTGCCGCGCCGCTCAAGGAAGACGTCCCGGCAAACGACACCCCCCCCTCCTGTTGCTGGCCGCAAGAAGGATGAAGAGAGAGAGTGGAAGAAGAAATAGAAGTGATAGAGGCAGTCGAGTATCCACAGGATAGAAAGATGCGACCGGATGAAAAGGTGATGCCACACAAGGCATTCGATGCATCGGATGGTGTGAAGTGCCGCTCCAAAGGAATCACTCGACCGTCTGACGAACGAAGAGTTACTCTCCCTCCCCTCCTCCGTTGATGTTCTGACAAGTAAGAATAGTAGTGGAGCTACTATCGAAACGGTAACGTGCCAACGGAGTGATGGCAACCGTGGCTCTCCACCACTACGTCGATGGAAAGCGGCGCAGTTAGCTTTTACCGACGTCGCGCGCGCGGTGAACACCAACGATGGCACGGTGATAGAATCAGAAAAAGAAGGTCTCGGGGAGCGGTTGGCAGCAGTCGTTGGGGCAGACCACCATAGTCCGAAAAGGAGGAAAGAAGAGGAAGAAGGAAGGACCAACCAGTGCAAACATACACGCACACACACACACATGCACGCGCGCAATGGAAACAGCATCCTCACCTTGTGCTCACTGCCGCTTCTTCGTATACGCGTCTACGCCCGCTAGCCTCGCCGGATCCACGGTAGTACGCACCTGACCTTCCCCGCTATCTGCTGCGCGGTGCATCGCCTGGACTATCCTCTCCCCTTCCTTCTCCAGCTTCTCGCGCTGCCGTCGAATGCGTGCGCGGGACCTCCGAGCCGCCTCGTCTTGCCGTCCTATGCGAATCATGATGAGCACGGCGTCCACCAACATCATCGCCACGAGGCCGACCACCGCGTAGAGGGTGCAGCTTTCCGCGTTGAGGCCGCGCAGGTAACCGAGGTAGTAGCCCACCCCTGCCCCGGTCACGGCCATGATTTGAATATCGAAGCCAATGGAGGCGTCGCGCAGGAACAACGCGTAGGACTTGGCAGCTCGCTCCGTCTTCAAGTCCCCACCGCTACTTCCAGCTGAAATAGCAGAGGACGAGGCCGCTGAGAAGCCCGTGGTCGTTGCTCGGAGCGGCACGCAGGCGTGCATACGGGAGGGGTCCAGTACCCCGTAGTCGCCCAAGTCCACAGAGGCAAGAGAGCTGCGCAGGGCCTCGTGATGCGCCGCCGCGGACGCCGTCGATGTACTTGCTGTAGACGACGGAGAAGGACGCCCCTCCTGGCCGTGCGCGCTGGTCGCAAGAAGGGAGTAGTAGTACCTGTTTGCCGCGGCCTCGATGGCGTCGATGCGCGCGTTCTTGCGCAGGCGCGTCGGGTTGTCGCCCACAACGGTCACTGCGGGGTTGATGACGAGAGAAATGGGCGGTGGCGGCCCGCTCTGCTGCGGGCCCGCTTCGTCCGCTTCGCTGCATGTGGACTGGGGCGCAGCGTGACGATCAGCAAGCGCACGACAGCGCGCAGCGACGGCCGCCATCGTCAGCGGCGTACACTTCTTCTTCTGCGTCGTCGTCGCCTCGTTTGCCGCCGATCCGGCGCTCGAGCTGTCTGTGAGAACGGCGTAGACCAGGTCCCACGGCAGGAGCAGATCGTAGTCATGAAAGCACACGGTGGCGGCACGCGCGGGGCCCGCAGCAGCAGTGGTGACGGCATCCCCTCTCAGCAGGCCCTCCTGGCGCAGCTGTCGTGCGCGCAGCTCCTTGCACAGGTACACGAGACTCCACAGAGCGGCGAGGTTGCGTACCACAAGGGCAAGAGACCGCGGCTGGCGGAGGGCAGCAGCACGTTTGGGGTTGGACAGCGCTTCGAGCCCCAACTGAACCGTTGCGAGCGGCCCAGTGAAGGTGTCTTTTGCGTTTGCTGGCCCGTTGCCAGGCGAGTCCGTAGCTGCCAGCGTGGTCGTAGACGCTGCGGCGGTGACAGGGGCTTGGTGTCTGTGCTGAAGAAGCGCATCAAGCCGTACCGCATCGTGCCGCGTGGAAGGTGTATCACTGAAGAGGGAGCGGTGCGTCGTCGGTGGTGGTGCCTGCGCCTTCGCACGAGGCGACGACGACGGGTCCGTCACATCTTCGTGCGCTGTGCTTCCAACACCCGCGGCGGGGGAATGGAGAAGGGGCAGGTCCAGCTCTCCGCCGTACCAGCGAACGGCGGCTTGCACCGTTGCGATGGATGACGGCAGCTGCAGCTGGCGTGGAAGGGACGCCGTCGTGCTGTCATGGTGGAGTGCTGCACCTTGGCGTTGGAGGAGCTGCTCGAGCGAAATAAGAAAAACCCACAGAGCGTTGTCGAGCAGGGAAGGGATCTCTGTGTGGACGAGGCTGCGCAGGCGCTGCTCGCCAAACGCGCGGACTGCGGCCGCCGTCTGCGGCGCTGTCGCGGCATCGTCCAGCAACTCGCACAGAGCTGGGGTGATGGCGCGGAGGTACACCATTGCCCTCCCACTCTTCTCTGTGGAGAACAAGGAGGGACGCAGATGCACTCCGCACAATCGTACGCACGCCCCCCCCCCCCGCCAGACTCTCTATGTCACACGTAAGCGCGTGGAATGGTAAAAGACAACAACACCAACGACACTAATAATAATAAGAAATGCGGTGCCGCAGCCGTGCCCGTGAAACCTACACGGTGGCGACGGAACCGTTTTTGATTTTGCTTGTTTCTCCTGTGGTTTGCGAGTTCTTGGTGGTAAGAGGCAGCGCGGGGGGGGGGGGACCACGGGGAAGAAGACACGCCCATACACCGGTTTCGCCGGCAGCGTACATCGCCGGCATACAATGGTGAAAACAGGAGAGGGGATGGTGGAGAGTCGGAGAACGAAGGAGCGAAATACACGGTCAGACGACGAAGGCGCTCAGGCAGGGTGAGCCGCCATTCTTCGTGCACAGCCTACTCTCTGCTTCAAGGACGATTATTATTGTTATCATTACTGCTTCTCTTCATGGCGCGCCTCCGTTGTGCCGATCTCGGAGGGGCCGGATGACAAAGGAGCACGTCATCGTGCCGCCCGAGTGGGTGCGGCCCGCGCGTGCCGGCAACACGCAGACGGCGCGGAGCGTTCTAAAACAACAACATCAATTTGCGTGTATTAAATGGGGAGTACAAATGAAAGGACACGGAAGCTGAAGGCTTCCAAGATGGACACACACACACACCAACATGAAGTTTACCCGTCGCCCAGCACCGCCACCGCTTGCTGTGCGTACGTGGCGACGATGGTCTGCATCCCATGCGCTATCGCCGCCGCAGACCTCTCCGCATCCCCGTACGCAACCTGCACGCTAACCACGGCTGGCAAAGAAGCCAGTTCCACGTTCGACTGTCGTCGACCTCCTGAACCGCTGCGACTGCCCAGGCGGCGGCCGGCGACGGCACCGCCGTGCCTGCTCTGCCACTGTTCCCAGAAAAAATCTTCGAGATCGTCCGCGACGGCAGCGCTGCGGTGTTGGTGGTCGCCGCCGCTTTCGTCCATCGAGTCCGATGCGGCGTCACCGACAAGGCAGATCAGCACCCCAGCCACCGCGTTCGCCGTCACCAGCGCCCCCTCTACCATCGTTGTTTGGGGAACGTGGCTGTCCACGATGGCGGTTACAGCGTCGCGTGCGTCGGCCACCGCCTGGGCAGCGGCGACGTCCACCGCGAGCAGCGCCGTGTAGTGGGCGTGTGACATAGCCAGCGTCGTCGTTGTGCTGGGCGGCACACCGCTGCTGCTGCTGCAGTGCTCTGCGGCAAATCGCGCCCCGCCATCGCGGCGTATTCGCAGTCGTTGCAGCGCCGCCGCGCCGCAGCCGTAAAGGGCGATACGCGTGGCCAGCGGCACCGCCGCCCCGTCGCGTGTGTGGAGGGGAACCTGAATGCACTGATCGGTTTGGTAGAGGCGGGCAACGAGTGCTGCGCTTCCTCCTCCTCCTCCCCGGCCTGCGGGCGCATTCAACCACACGACGTGGTCGTTACGGAGATCACTGTGGTGGTGGTGGTCGCCGCCGCCCAGTGTGGCCGCTGCCGTGTCGTCGTTGCAGCGGCGGGCGCCATGCCTGGACGACGGAAGGAGCAGCTGTGCGAGCCAGCGCTCCTTCTCGTTGTCGAACAGCGTCTCCAACGTGCGCCGCGTCGCGTCCGCGGCGTCGTCCGCGTCAGTGCAACTTGGTGTGGGGTGATAGGTCAGGCGATGTGGGGACTTGTTGTGTCTGCTGCTCACCAAGACGAAGGTGCTTGTCAGCTGCAACAAGGCGGCATCGGGACTGCCGTCGTCTGACGCAGCTGCCACTGCTCCGCGGTGCCCGCGAGAGGGCAAAGACGTAGCGTCAGCGTACGCCGACGGCGCCCACACTACGTAGTGGTGCACAGAGCGGTCGAAGACGACGGACGAATGCGCCGCGGGGTGGGGCGCAAGCGCTGCTGTCGTGGAGTCGTTCCGCGCTCCTGCTGCTGCGGCCGCGGCGGCGACCTCCTCCACGGCTATCCCCACCATGGTCACGATGGAGCCGCCTGCCTCTATCCCTGCCGTCGCCGCCGCCGCATCATTCGCGTTCTCCTCTCGTCGGGCGCACGCTCTCGCTGGTGGTCTTGTCGTGCGGTGGCGCGCATGTCTGTCATGGAAGGCGGTCGCGAGGGCTGATGTGAGGTCGCTCAGACCACTACAGCCGGGGGGCAGCAGAGGCAGCAGAGACAGCCTCCTCTGAGCAAACGGCAAAGAAGACGAGGAGGAAGAAGATGAGGTCGAGCCGCCGGAAACGCGCGAGTGGACAGGGCGTCCCGCCGCGGACGACGCGGTGAGCACCGGAACGGCCCCTCCTTCGACCGCCAGCATCGCCTGCACTTCATAACGCGGAATCATCGCGGCGGAGCATCCACGGCTGAAAAGCACCGCCCGCGTATCGTCGGGAAGGCATCTCGTTCGGGTCCGGTGGGGGCCGGTCTGCGCTGCAACTTCCGCGTCGCGTCTACCGCCGGGCGTGACCCACAGACTGCCCAACGACGACGTGTCCGTGCTGACGTCGCTGGTGGACACGGCCGCATCCCACATGTGCAGCCCGTACTCGCTCATCGACCCACGCAGCACCGCTCTCGTGAGCAGCTCGCTGGCGCGTTGTGCAAGGGTACGAATTAAGGCCTGACATTTGCGTTGCTGTTGCTGCTGCTGCTGCACCTCAAATGACGCCTTTTCAAAGCGCATCCGAGAAGCTGCGCCGCGGTCCGCCGCCCGTGCCTCGAGAACGCTTTGCGCGGCTGTCGCCAGCGCTGTCGGGTCGCCGTGCGTCAGCTGCGTCCACAGTTGCAGATATTCGCCGACGAGCGGGACGCATACCTTGGCAAAGACATTCGCTTCCTGAGTGGTCAGCGGAAGGGCAGATGGTCGTGTCTCCTGTCTGTGGCACAGCGCGATTTCCGCCTTGTGCCGCTTGGGAAGTCTTCTATGCGCGCCCGACTGCAAGCACTCGCGGCTATCCACAAGGCCGTCCACGCCGCTTCTGCTGCTGTCGTCACTGCTATAGCTGCTGCTACCGTCGGCCGCGTCTCGGCTGCCCACGCGTGTGCGCCGTGCTGCCCTGTCAGCTCGCGGTGTGAAGCTGTCGGCTACGGTGGCCATGTGTGGTGGGGGGTGCAGAGGACGAAGGGGCAGTTGTTGCGAGCTCCTTCTGTTTGTCTCTGTCGCCGCTGCAGCAACATCCGTAGAGGGTAAGTTGAGCTCCACGTCCTTCTCGCTCTCATCTGCTGATAGCGAGGGCAATGTTGATGACGATGATGATGGTGCGCTATCGCCTTCCTTGGTGCTGCTCTTTTCTGCAGTCCTCTGCGATTTCTCTTCTTGGTCTCCATCCTCCGTGTTGTACGCCTCGTCCTCCTGTCCTTGTTCTTCTGCATCGCCGTCTTCACCGTCCTGTTCCCTCTCCCCCCGCGTGCGCCGCTTTAGGTGACTGTACTCCAGCAACGGTGCGCTGCTGCCACTTCTGCTGCTGCTGCTGTTCTCGCCACTGCCCTCGCGCACGGCGCGTCGGTGTGCTTCCGGTGTCGTCGAGTCTGTCTGCACCGTCGTTGCTGCTGCTCCTGCGGCCGAAGAGGAAGAAGGAAACGAAGCTGTCCTGCTGTGGACGGCTGCCGCGCTCGGCATGGCAGTATTGAACTGCAGCGGAGGGACGACGGGTTTCGCGGGGCCAAAGCGGAGCGCCGGCTGCGTCGGCCGGCTCGGAAACAGCTTCGACATGGACGTCGTGGCGCCGCCGTCGTCGCCTTCCCTTTTTGCAGAGGAGGAGGAGGGCGTCAGCGGACGCGGCTCCACCAGCTCCGCCGAACTCGCCCGACCCTCCTCGCCCGCCTGCACGCCGTCGCGTGAGAAGCCGCCGGCAGCGCTCGCCGCGGGGAGCGTGGCCGGTGACTCTACGATGACCCGCGACGTCTGCGAGTTGCACCGCCGGCCACTGCTGCTGTTGATGTTCCCACTGCGGTCGTCGTCCCCTTCCGCCTCACCGTAGTTGTCGGGCAGCGGCTCTACCCTGCACGACCCTGTTTCTGTGAGGGCGAGCGTGGGAAGGGGTTGAAGGGTGGCGGCGTCGGGCACCCGTCCCTCACGTTCCGCCGCTTCCTTCGCTCGCTGCCACTCCTGTGAGCGCTGCTTCGCTTGATCGGCAGCCGCCTCGGCGTAGAGCACGTTTGCGTTCAACGCACGCACCAGCTGCCGCGCTTCCGCGATGGCGGGCGGCACCGGAGCACCAAGCTGCGCTTCGTTCACCCTGGGCACCTCCTCTTTTCCATTCTCCCTGTTGTTGTCGAGGCGTGAGACGTGCGCGGAGGGATCACGCAGTGGATCGTCGCCGTCTCCGTCGGCGTCCACGTCGTCCTCGCTGAAGAAGACGCTGCTGCTGCACGTCGACACCGACTCTCCCTCCATCTTTTCCACCCACTCCTCTCCCCTATCGGAGAGCTCTTCATCGCCGTCGTCCTCGCTACGCAAACGCTGGCGATGACCGCTTTCACTTGCCAGCGCGTCTTGCCACCGCCGCGCCAGCCGTCGTGCCTTCTTGCAGCGCCGCAGCATCCTTTCTCGGTGCCTCCGCAGCGAGGCGAAGAGCTCCTGACTTGCGTCGACCAGCGTCAAGGCGGCCACCTCGTCGTGGTACGGAGGGCAGTAGACCTCAAGGATCTCCATGAGATTAATAGGGCAGCCAGGCTGACGAAGCAGCTCTGCATCGGCGCTGCCGGCAACTGCCGCGGAGGCCGCCGCTTCATCCCCTCCCGACCCGCCACCGTAGCTGCTGTAGTCGTCGGCGTCTTCGTCGTCTGCTCCTGTTCCTCCTGTTCCTCCTCTTCCATTTTCGGCTTCCTCCGAAGCGTCCCCGTAGTCCTCCCTGCCCTCACTTGCACGCCCATACACATCTGTGTAGAAGTCGTCGTCCTCGCTCGCTGCGTCGGCCGCCACTCCTGATGGAGGGGAAGTGGTGGGGCTAGGCCGGGTGGGGAGTCCCGCCGTGTGCGGAAAGCGCTCGTACGCCGCGTGCCAGACACGAAACCCAAAGAACTCGGGGTAGGTGGGGAAGAACAGCACCCGCTTGTTCTGACACTTGTCCTCCAACACCTCGGCCGTCACCAGCGGGTCCGAGTTACCGTGGCACAGGTGGAGGTACCACACCTTTATTGCCGGTGCGCCGGCGTTGCGCACCCCCCCGCCTTCTTGCTGTTGCCGCTGCTGCGGATCTTCTTCTTCGTCTTCCTGCGGGGACTTGAGCTCCAGCTGCGCCTCGAGCCCCATCAATTGGAGAAATACCAAACAGTCTGACGGCGCCATCATCAGGCGATCCGCGAGGTCCTCCACGGCAATGGCGTGGCGCACACGCAGCTTCGGGTAGACGTAGTAGTTTGGCAGGACTAACTCGAGCACGGCGCGGTAGCGCGCGTACGTGAAGGATTGGAAGACGACGGCCCGCTGCAACGGTGTAAGGCGGCGGGACTTGCACAACGCAAAGAACTCAAACCACCGCCGCGTTGACCAGCAGTCGATCAGCTCCAGCGCGGCCCGCACAGGCTGGGCCTCCATCATGTACGGCTGCTTCTCCAGCTCACGGTTTACCTGGGCGAGGTTGACGCTTTCGGTGGGCGGCTCCGGACATAGCCGGGGCTGGCCGTCTACGTGGATGGTGTGGAAGCGGCAGAACGTCGCGCGATCCTCCACCTTCATCTCCTGGTTCAGCCCGTACAGCAGCAGCAGCACCGAGAAGAATTCCGCGTTGCGGTGGCGCTGCTCGGCGCGGTAGAACACCGTCAAGTCGGTGAAGCACTGCGACATGGACTCAAGAAACTGCTTCTTGTCCTGCATGAAGCGCTGGCACCCTTTGGGGGTGAGGCAGAGGTAGGCGCCCCCAACAGCCAACGCCGCCGCCGTAAATTCGAGCCACCGCACGCGGCGGTAGCTCTCGCGGCGCAGCTCCCGCGCCGGCAGCGGCCGCCCCCCCTTGCTGTCCACGTAGCCTTTAATGCTCACGTTACTCGGGGGCAGCTGCGGTGCCCAGGTCGTGCGGATGCCCCGGAAGCGGTCCCACAGGTAGCCCCAGATGCGGAAGGGGTCGCTGTACACGAGCGGTGTGTGCGGCGCACGCAGGTAGTGCTCCACCAGAAAGTGCATGGCCTTTTCCAGCGCGAGGGGCGTGCGTTGGAGGTGCGGGTCGATGACCTTTCCGGCGGCGGAGCGGCTGTACGCCTCGACCTGGCCGGGAAACACACCTCTGCGCTGGTTGCCGCTGCTGCTGCCACCACCGCTGGAGGAGAGGGAGATGTTTTCAAAGTCCTCGCGGCGCTCTCGCTGGGCCGGGTCACCGCCGCACAGGCCGCAGTAGCGTCCGCGAATGAGCGGCTTCGCTGCTGAGTCGTCGCGCAGCTTGCAGAATTCAGAGAACGGCATCAGCGACAGCGTGGAGGCGATGTGGGCATCGCCGTACGGGTGCCGACGCTCCTCCCCTTGCTCCTGGTCTGGAGGCATAGGAGAGGAGAGAATGGATGGTTGCATCCGTGCGAATGCAGTCGTCGGGCCAAAAGCCTTACGGATACAAATCTTTTTCCTTTCTTGATCTGTTCTTCTGAAAGATCGTGTGGACCTAAGCAGCGCAGGCCGACCCACGGTGGAGTTAGGGGTGCAATATGGTTCCAACTACTGTGAGAGCGCGACGATGTCAATAGCGGGGGGAAGGAAGAAGGAAAAGACGAGGAGGGAGGAGACAGCGGAGGGTCGTGGAAGCGGAGATAGCACCCACACACACCCATGCAAGTAGAGAAGAGCGACTCACTGAAGTCTGCTGTGTGTGTGTGTGTGTGTGTGTGCTGGAAAGAGGCTAAGAAAAAAAAAAAACCTGGTGCGGCAGATTCGATGAAGGGAACAGCGGGTGGAGTCAACGCACGACGTTCGGCGCTTCCTTTTACATGCACCGTCTGCACAGCGATTCTTTTCCCCTTTTCTTTTGTTCCGCTTGCGGAGTGCCGATGCCGCACACCGTGTCGTTCGGGCCGGCCACGGATGCCCCGCCCCGCCATCTTTCATTCATTTTCTTTCATAAAAGAGAAAGAATAACCCCATAAATGCGTGCTGTGCGGTGTCGCAGGCACACCCACACGCAGAGGTCTATCTATGCAGAGCAGGAAGCTCTCTCTCTCTCCGCGTGTCGACGGCAGCACAAGATCAACCAAGTGCAGCAGACGATAACAGACAGCAGCCACAACATCATCGAAAAAGGCGTGGCATAAGTTGTGGCAGTCATCGTCGCTACCCTCCCACGTGCACTACGCCTCCAGAAAAGACATGTTCCACCGCATGCGCGACACACGCATTCAGCAGCTCGGCAAGCGGCGTCGAGTCTGGCGTGGACGCCGCCGCCGTGGCGCTCTGCGAGACGTGCGCGATGCCGTTGCTGTGCGGTGGTGCTGTCGCGGCGGTTGATCTGGGCTGACGGAGTGACTGCATCCACTGGAAGAGGCCCGTTGCCACTGGCGGCCGCTCCTCCCTTTTCATGGAGAATACTGCGCCTCCTGCTGCTGCTGCTGCTGCTGCTGCCTGGCTGTCTTGCTCGTCCTCCCGCGGAAGAGCACTGTTTTTCCTTCCTTGTCTACCGTCCACGAAGAACGGGGTCAGGAACGCATCCAGCACCTCCTGCAGTTCTTCCAGTTCTTTGGCAGGCCACACGACCGGCTCATGAAGACCAAACGACGTTGTCCTCCAACGCACTGCTGCTGCTGCTGCGGTGCCCTGCATCGCAGCAGCGTACGTAGGGGGTGAGGGGGTCGTGCTGAGGGGAGCGGCGTCCGTCGCAGCAACAGCGGCAGCGGACAGCGCTGACCACCCACCGGCGAAGCCGAGAACCTCACGTGCGATCTGGTCGCACTCTGCCGCTACCTCCGGCGCTGACGGGTACGCTAGCTGCTGCTGCTGCGATGATGATGATGATGCTGGCGCGTGCTGCGGGTTGCTTGCGACGCCTTCGTAGAGATACGAGGGCGCGTCTCTTCCCGCTGCGTATGCGTGTTCGGCCAACAGAGCCCATTGCTGCTGCTGCTGCTTCTCTTCTCTCGACAGTTCGACAAGCGCAGGCAGGGAGAGGGACGAGAGGGAGGCGTGCAGCGTGCGAGGAAGCTGCCTCACAAAGTAGATGAGCTGCGCACCAACGCGGCTCACGCAAAGCTGCTGAAGTTGCAGCTGCTGCGCTGCGTGCTCGTGCGCTGCCGCTCCCACCTTCTCCTCCAGCTCTCGAGCGTGCTGCTGCGCTAACGTGCCCTTCAAGTCCTCCAGCGCTGCATTCGCCTCAACGCGCTGCGCTTTTGCAAGATCACGCCGGCGCCTCTCCGCTTCCTTCTGCTGCTCCGTCCACGCCTGCTGCGCAGTCTCCCACGCCTCATGAAGGGCTTTGCGTTCTTGCACGAGGGTGCGTACCGCAATGCGCTTCGTGCCCAGTTCCCGCACGACGGCGTCGCGCTCGAGAAGAAGTTGCTGCACGGCGTCGTGCACCGCAGAGAGCGTTCGCATGACGGACAGATCGTCTTTGCTCGCGTGTCGGGAGTTGAGGTTCGTCTGATCGAACAAGACACCACTGTTAGCGGGGCTCAGTAAGGAAGTAGGGGACTGCAGCCTTAACGCACCGTTGGCTGCTGCTGCTGCTGCTGCCGCCGTCGTGCGCTTCACTGCTTTGCTGCGTGAGAGCGCTCCAAGGGAGAATGCCACGTCGTTCGGAGATGCACGGCCATCGTGACGATCACTACCATCCCCTTGTTCCTCCTGCGCCGACTTCCTTCGCAGCAAAGTGTGTTCCCCCTCCCCTTCCCCGTCCCCTTCCGCTGCTCCGTAGATGGACGACGCAGGTGTGGTGGGGACAGCGACGACGGCCGACATCGCCACGGACTCGGCTGCCGTGCACACGGACGACGACGGCGACGAGGAGGAGTGAGAACGTGCAGAGGATGACGATGTCTGCACTCGCGCAGCGCCTTCGTCACCTTCGCTGCACCACCGCTGGCTGTTGCCCTTGGCTGCGGCGTCGCCCGTTGCGGCGAGCGGCGCAACGCGTGTCCGCCGCTCCACCTTTGCGGTGTGAAGTGAGCTCCGTGCACGCTGAAAGTGCGGTGCGGGAGAGGCCCCCGCCGCCGCCGTCGTCGACGCCGCGTTCCGCAGAGGCGGCGCTGCCCACAGCAGCTGTGCGATGCGCTGCAGAGCACGCCGCTCCTCTCTACGGCGCTCCTCTGCGCGCTGTGCCGCTTCACACAGCGCACCCCGCTGCTGCTCCGTGCGCCTCAGCGTGTTCGCAGTGCGCAGCTGCGCGTGCAGCGCCGCCTTGAGCGACTCCTTCGTCTTGAGCAGGTCGTTCGTTTGCAGCGTCATCGCCAGCTCCGCCGCCCGCAGCTGACCTGCGATCGTCACCTTCTCCGCCAACACCTGCTGCTGCGCCGCTTGGAGGGGCTGCAGCTGCGCTCGGACGGCGTGCAGTTCTCGTTGTGTCGCCTCGAGAGCGCCGTTGCTGTCCGCCAGGCTGCGCTGGGCTTCGCGCAGCCGTTGCTGGAGCGCCTCCTGTCCTTCGTGGAAGAGTTGCTGCTGCTCCAAAAGCTGCTGCTGCATCTGCACGGAGTGCCCGCGCAGGCGGTCGTGGTACGCGTCTCGCTCCGCCACCGCACGCGTGAGCTGCGCGGCCACCTCGTGCCGACTCGCCTCCGCGGCCAACAAGGCGCTCTCCACCGCCTCACTGCCCTTCATGCAGCCTTCGACCTGCTTCAACAGCTGCCGGTGCTTTTCCTCGTGCTCCGTCAACATGAGGTCCACCTCGCCCGCCTTCTCCTGCCGCAGCCGCTCGAGCTCTGCCTCTCGTGCGGCGACTTCGCTTTCCGCGTGTCGCAGCTGCCCTCGGAGGAGCTCCGCTTGCCCTTCGATTTGTGCCGCGCGCTGTTCGTCATGGGCGTGCTGCAGGGTTGCCGCCGCGAGTGCCTCGGTCAGCTCCTGGACCTCCGCCCGATGAACGGCCACGTTCTCCTCCGTGCGCTGATGCACGGCGCGCAGTTCGGCGAGATCTGTCTGCGCCAGACGCAAACTCTGCCTCCAACGCTGCACCTGTGCTTCGACGTGCTCGTGCTGCTGGGTGAGTTGCCGAAGAAGGGACGCCTCCTCTTGGGCTCGTGCGTGCGTCTGCGCTTCCGCCGCACGCGCCTCCTCCACGAGCTGCTTCTGCTCCTCCAGCTCCTGCAGCCACCGCTGCTGTGCGGACGTGCTGTCGCGGATAATCGCCTCCTCCCGCCGTCGCGCCTCTGCAAGCTGCCGCTGCAGCACGTCGTGTTCCCCGGAGGCGGACGCGTTGACAGCCGTTGCCGCACGAAGTTGGTCCTCCAGCTGATCGGCTAATGCAGCCACCTCGCGTTGCAGCCCTGCCAGTTCTAACCTGTGCTGCCGCTCCTGCCGGCGCATCTCTTTCGATTTGCTGTGCAGCTCGCGCGTGAGGTGGTCGATGTGCTCCCGCAGGGTGCGCTGATCCTCCCGCTTCTCCTCCAGCAGCATTTCGAGCTGGTACTCCAGCTGCGCCACACGCTTCTGCGCTGCATCGAGGGCACTCGCGGACGATGCACCGCCCTCCCCGCAACTCCCTCGATGGTCGCCATCGTCATCATCCGAGTTTGCCGCGGCAGAGCTGCGCGAAGACGGCCGCCGTGATATTTTCTTGTCGGACTGCGAGCGTGCGAGTTGCGCCGTCACCGCCGCCAGTTCCGCTTCCTTCTCCGCGAGTGCTTCCTGCAGTGCGACGACGGTGTCCACGGCGGCGTGCGCTGCCGACAACGAATGCGAGGGGGGATCTGCGTTTGCAGATGGCAGCGGCGTTGTTCGTTGTCGAGCCGCTGCCGCTGCGCCTCCGCCTGCGGACAGGACGGCGCTATGCGATTTGCCCCTCTCCTCTGCCGCAAACCCATCGTTCTCTTCTGCCTCTTCGCTGTGTGCTGCACGAGTGCTCCGCTGCTGCTGCGGCTTCCACCACCGCACCGGCGTCGTGGGCAGCGAGGGCGATCGGGAGAGGACGGTTTCGCGGCCCTCCGCAGTGGCGGCTGGTGCGCTTCTGCCGGTGCGCGGCGGCGTAGCGGACTCGTCCACATCACTCCTTTCCGCCTTCGACGGCGCAGCAGATGCGCTCGCACGAGCTGGCGACGCTGACGTGCGTCGCAGCCGTTCGTTTTCCTTCTCCAGCTCCGCAACGGCACGCGTCAGGCGGTCAATCGTGCTGTCCTTCTGCTGCAGCGATGATAGCACGCGTGCTGCCACGTCCTCTTCCGTCTCCTCATCGTCTTCGGTGTCTGTGTCCTCACCCGCGGAGTTCTGTGTGTGCGGTGGACTTGATGCAAAGCGCGACCGCGGAGGCTGCTGTTGCGGCAGATCACGACGATGATAACCGGCCAGCGACGATGGGGGTGGGTGGGCGACTGCGATGGCGGAGGAATAGGAGGGGGAAGGTTGAGCAGGAGGCGGAACCTGGAAGCGGCCGGGTGAGGTTGTCGTGTTGCGCGCGCCCTGAGAAGGAGAGGTGGACAGCGGCGTACGCGCACTGTCGGGACGCGCTGCGAAACTCGACGCTGGAGGAGGCGAGCGTGCGGCGGTGCTAGAGCGCTCCGGCTGGGAGGCGGTGTCCGCCCCTTCCGCCAGCGATGTCAGTCGGTCGTGCGTTTGCGCTGCTGACGGAGACGTCGACGGCGCAGTACGCGCGGGTAGTCGACGCAGTGCGGCAGAGGCGAGTTGGTACGTGGTGAGAGACGACCGCGAAGCCGGAAGCTGGCGCGTAGCGACGCCTGCGTGTTGATGTTCTTGATCGCTCTCGTGCTGCTGACTCGGTGCTTCCACCGCAGCCCTACGCAGGCCATCTCGCTGCGGTGTGAATGGCCGCGAGGTTATCGCAGGCGCTGCGGAGTGCGCTGACGAGGTGTCTTCCAACTCATCGGCAGAGTCCATGTGGATCGTCGTCGTTGCTGCTGCACCCTGGATGGTGGTGGCAGTTGGGACTGTAGAGGTGGAGGTGCCGGAGGCAGCAGATACGGCGTGCGTGGGAGAAGCGGAAGGGGAGACGACGATGAAGGGACTGGGCCGCTGCGGCGACTCCGCCGTGCTGCTTTGCACTGTGGCGTACATCTCTCTCCTCTCTAATTCCAGCGGAGGGAAAGAAAAGGAAGAGCACGCTGGCGATGTGGGTGTGTGCGTGTGTGTGGTGACCTCTTGCCACACCCGTTTCTTCTGTATATCTATGTGTGTGCGTGTGTGCGAGGCGGAGGAGCGAAAGGAAACTTGCAGTACGGCCCGCTGCGTGAGAAAGATGGCGGCCTCCGACAGAGGGGTGCAGACGAGAGGAGAGCGGTGGCAGAGATCATTAATGCCAAACGGTGGAAGCAGCGCACCAAGGGGAGGGGCTTGGCGGCGAAGATGCTCACCCACTTCGAATGCGCACGACGACGGTGGAGTTCCAGCGCCGCCGTGAACATCAAGGGGCATCGTACGGGCATTTGGCAGAAGCGCACATGCACACGGAACAACGAATGCCAGTTCTCGCATTCAACCCTGTCCCACAAGTTACCCTGCGTTGCGGAGTATTACGTCCCTCCAGTTCTTTTTCATGGCGATGCTGTGCACTTCGCCGTTCACGTCATACACACACACACATATATATATGTATTTAAGATTGACAGAGAAGCACAGAGACTTCTGCAAGACGCACACGCAAAGCTGTGCGCTGCCTTTTCCTCCTTTCTCTCTCTATCCGCCGTGTTGGTTTGCCGATCTCGTAAAACAAAGAAGAAAAGAAAGAAAAAAAATAGGAACCCCCGTAGAAGGCACTTCGTACTGTTCCGCGCCTGTTCGTGTGCTGAAAGCGGTAGCCGAAGTTAATAGCTGTTAAAGTACTTATAGAGATTCATGAAGATGAATGATTAAAAAGAAACTTGAGGCATCAAACATGATCACACCTGCGTTCTTGTGGCGGGGACGGGGGTAGGCGGGGGGGGGGGGAGGGCGATGGTGAGGCGAGATGAAGTACAGCGATGCTGCATCGATTGGACTCGGATGAACCGAAAGGAGTAGAGTTACTGCTCTCTCTCTCTCCAACCTTTCTGTTTCCTCCTCCCTCCTCCTCCCTCAACCACAACGGCCCCCCAAAAAATTACAAGCGACGGTGACAACTCAGCAGCAATAAAACAATGGAAAAAAGAATTGGAAAAAACACGTACGTTGTTCCGCGTCGTCGCAGAAGAAGAAAAAGAAGGCTGCGTCGAACACATCTTCTCCTTTTCCATGGGATTGTTGCGTGTGTTGATGATCTGGAGACGCTCCCTTCCCTGACGCTTTCTTTGAAGGCGCTCGGACGCCAGCCGCGAAGTAAAACCGTCAGCCGCCGCCACTTCCCTCCCTCCACCTGCTTTTTCTTTTTCTTCAGCTCCCGACCGTGAAATGCAGTGGTGGGGCACAGCGCAGAAGGGAAAGGGGGGGGGGGGATGGAGGAAGATAGTCGGAGGCCGATTTACGCACCAGAGGCGACGCGCAGAACAACGGCGTGTGCCTCGAAAAAAAGAAAGCAGGGAAAGCGGCAACACGGAAACCCCCCAAAAATATCGATAACAGCGGAGGGGGAGAAACAACACAAAGCAAAGAGCGGGCTCGCGCGCGTCTCAGGCGCACATCGGTGGAGGTCGATGCGAACTCGGCAGAGGGGAATCAAGGAAAAGAAAGAAAAAAGGAAACTCACAGCAAGGCGAAAAGACACTCGTGGTGCATCGCACGGCAGGACGAGAAGCAGCAGAAGAGGCTGCGCAACGTCTGTGGTGTTTGTGCGGGTGTATGCGTGTCTTCCGCCGAGTCTTCCTTTGCTTTTTATTGTAAATTTCTTAGTTCTCCGTTCCCACCGCGTGAGAAAGAGAAATCATTTAACAACAAACAAGCAACAAACCAAAATGAGAGGCTATGCGTAAGTATAGAAGCCTACGCTTATTTTCTCTTTTTTTTTTACTTACTTAGTTGCTTCTTCCGCCGCCTCGCACACCGCGCAGGTCGCCTGCCCGACTATTTTCCTCCTTTCTCGTCCTTCCTGGGGCTTTTTTTTGGTATTCCTTCTAGTTGGTTTCGTTGTTGCGGTAACTCCCTCCTCCCGCCCCCCTCCATCCACACACACGCACGTGAGGGGCCGCGAAGACGACGACACGCAACAGCGTGCGATGGCAACGGAAGTCGCCTACGTCGTCCGACCTCGCACAGTACACGTTACAGGGTTTAGAAACAAAAGGAAGAAACCCCCGACGGGTAACAGGGAAAAGCTGGTGCAACACAAGACCTGCACGGAGAGAAACAGAATGGACGAAGGAGGCGACAACAGGCGGCGGTGCACGCACCGTCGGTGGGTCCGTCAATGCGGAAGAAATAATTTAGAAACAAAAACCTGCGTGAATTAGGAAGATAGCACAGCACAAAATGAGCCGGCAGATTCAGCCCTCCTCTCGCGGGCCGTCCTTCTACTTCTCCCCCTCACTAAGGAAACGACACGGCTCTCTTGACGCCCGCCTTCCCTTCACTTGCTCATTCGCCTACGCCCCAAACAACTCCCGCGTCTCCGTGTTTCACGCTGCTACATGGTGACGGAGGAGACCCACTCGCGGCGACGCGTGGAGAAGCCGTTGAACGGGCACCCGGCCGCCGTGGTGTAGCTGCCCATGTCCGGCGCCAGCAGCCAGTCGCCCAGCTTCATCTCCGGGAACGGCTGCTTTTTCAGAATGCAGTCCATCGAGTCGCAAGTTGGGCCAAAAATGGTCGTAAGGCGCAGCGGGCGACGCGGGAGGTTGTGGCGGCGGTCCCAGGCAGAGGTAAAGAGGGAGTCGTTCGCCGGCACACCGTCCACGGTGACCTCGCCGATCGCGTCGTCGTCGGCGCTGGCGTTGCCGGCTGCAGCGTCCTCGCTGCGCTCCTCCGCATCCGCCCCATCGCCATCGTTCAACAGCAGCAGCGTCGGGTGTGCGTGGTCAAACACGATACAGTTAAAGCTGTGGTAGAGGCCGTCGTTGACGTAGTACTGGTACTCCTCCGGTTCGTCCATGTTCACCACGTTCTGGAAGGCCTTGCAGCTCTCCTTCTCGGCGTCCGACAGGCGGACCTTGCGGGCAGCGAAGACGTTCATGGCGAGGGCGTGCGTCGCCGCCGTGAAGTAGCGGCCGGGCTCGCTGATGATCGTCACGTCACCGCCGCCGAACAGCTCCTCCAGCACCGGCCGCATCGCACGCGCGATGGTCTCGAAAGACGTCTCACCGCCGCCGGGCTGCGGCTCCGTGCCCGGGTAGCCCCCGCCGATGTCCAGCAGGGTGCAGTTGAAGCCGTAGCCGGCGGCCATCTGGAACACGCGGTGGGCGTCCCGCACCGCGGAGACGTAGGCGGACTGGTCGCCGTTGCCGCTGCCGACGTGGAAGCTGACGCCGTAGACCTCGACGTTGAACTGGCGGGCCGCCTGCAGGAGGCCCTCCACCTCGTCCAGGCCCGCGCCGAACTTCGACGAGAAGGCGCACTTCGCGGCGGCGTCGTTCGTCTTGATTCGGATCACCGCACGGGCCGACGGCATCACGCGGCCGATCTTCTCCATCTCCGCAATGTTGTCCACCGTGACGTACGTCACTCCACAGGCGTGGGCCTCGCGCAGATCACCGAGCTGCTTACACGGGTTCGCAAAGATGATGTCGTCCGCGGAGGCCACGAGGTGGTTGTCCAGCACGACGTGGATCTCGTCCTTCGAGGCGCAGTCGAAGCCCGCACCCAAGACGCCGAGGACTTCCATGATGGCCACATTTGGATTACACTTCACGGCGAAGTGCGGCCGCACCATCGGCAGCTCGTGACGCCAGCGGGCCATCTGCTCCACCACACGACCCAGGTCGATCACGTAGAACGGATCCTCCGGCTCGTAGGCGGGCCTCGTCGCTGCGGCTGCCGCGGTGGCCGCCGCCGTGATGCCCCGCCGGATGTACACACTTGCGAGGCGGCGCCAGTACTGCTCACGCGTCTCGACGCCGTCGCGGGAGACGACGGCGTGCGGGGGACGGCGCTGGCGGTGCGCGGCCGCGGCCGGGGTGGCCGGGGAGGCCGGCAGCTGCAGCTCCACGCCGTACTTCTCCAACACCGCACGAACGGCCTCGCGGCGCTGTGCGGCGGTGCGCTCGCCGTAGATGGGGTAGGCGGAGAAGTTCATCCCGTTGACGGCATCGCTGCCCTCCAAGAAGAAGAGATCGACGAGGTCCTGGCTGGCGGCGACGGGGCCGCGGCAGCTGGCGGTGGGGTCCGTAGGGGAAATGGGTGAGCCCGCGACAGAGACGGCCCCCGTGTAGTTGCTGCTGTTTTTGTTGCAGTCCGTAGGGGAGACAGCAGACGGCGGCGGCACGACCACATCGCTCCCCTCGCGATCGCGCAGGTGGCTGACCTCGTGCTGGCGGCGCTGCTGGGCAACGCGGTCGGCCGACTGCGGACACATGTGGTACTTCTCCAGCAACGCTGTCTTGCGAGCCAACAGGCGCTGCTGTGCGGCATCATCGAAGGCACTCGGCGGGACCGGTGCCGCGGGTGTGGCAGCGGTCGGCGTCATCAGAGCCGTCGCGGACACCGTTGTGGTGACCGTCACGCCGTCCTGCGTAACGGTAACATCGCTGTTGGTGTGCGCCGGATGGATCTGGGCGATGGTGGACAGGGGCACCAGCTCCGTGTAGTTCACGTTGTTGTAGTGATTGGCGTTGCTCAGAGCGACGTCATGGTTACTCATCGAGACGGAAGTGGGGAGAAGTAAAAAGATCGAGCTACAACAACAAAAGAATCGGTGAAGAGAGAGCGGCAGCAATGCACGTGAAAGATATGAAAAGAGGATGAAAGCAGTGCTCACGCGGGAGGCGTAGAAGTTTCGGTGACAGCGCGAAGGTTGAGAATCTCGAGTGAAAGCAGGCAGTACAGAGAGCGACAAAACAAGAAGGGGCAATGAGGATATGCTAAAACAAGGCGCGAAGGCGGATGTATATCTGAAAATAGGAGGGACACACACGCGGAGCGAAATGCCACTCAAGTGAAAAGAAAGAGCGAGTTAGAGAGGAAGTGTTAGGGAAGCTTGAAAGAGGAGGAGCGCTGGTGGAGCGTGGGAGAAAACGAACAAGACGAGGGTGAAGGGGAAGTTTGTCAGAAGGTGTCATTGTGTGTATGAGAATGCATATATATATGTATGTATGTATGTGTATATCAGAGAGGGAGAGAGGTAGAGGGGGTGGGGAGGGGAGGCGCAGGAGTGAGGTGGTGACAGTCAAAGAGACGGCGTTGCAGTCGAGGTGCTTCCCTCTCGAGTGGTGGGCGCGGTGAAAACTGCGGTCCCGCCACTTTTGTGTCTCGGAGGGAATGAGATCGGGCCACGACAGCTTTCCGCACGTGGTGCCCCTCATCACCTCCGCGTTTTCGTTGCTTGTGGTATTTGAAGCGGCTGCGATGCGGTCAACGACAAAAAGCCCGCAGTGGCGCAGCAGGCGTGAAGCTCCGCCCTCAAGGAGAGCGCCATCGTTCACGGCGAGCAGCAAAACAATAGTAAAACGAAGCCAGGTCGACCAGCGCAGACATCCTCGTCCGCTGTCCACTCGGCATGACTGCGTGCCTCTCCGGTGCGTTCCCGCTTTTGCGGTTTGCTAGTCCTTCGCATTTGGCGCTGCGTGGCGTGGCGGCAGCGGCACCGCCTCGTTCAGCAGCCGGAACACGTGCCGATAGTTTTGCAGCATGACCCGCTTCGACACACGCCGCCGCGCCACGTCGATGCCGACCTGCGCCGCACTCCTCCCCGCCGCCCCCGCCCCGCCAAACGAAGGGAGCGGCTGGCCGTAGAGATAGGCCACGACGTCCGACGGCCGCGCCGCGTAGGACAGCAGCACGAGCTCGTCGTCGAAGCCCAACTCCAACAGCGTCGCAGTGATGTGCAACGCGTCCTGCACGTCGCCGTCCACCGCATCCACCTCGCCTTTCCGCGCGGAGTCAACAGACTTGCGCTGCTGCTGCTGCTGCTGCTGCTGCTGCTGTGAAGGTGCTCTTCGTGACGACATGCCACCATAGGGATGTAGGTGACGCAGATACTCCGCCGCATCCGGTGAGTGGCGGTAGACGAAGTGGCGGCAGCACGGCTCTCCACAACTGCACAGCAGCCAGCCCTGCGCCCCCGTGCCATGTCCTAGCTCGCCCGCGTAGAGCGGTGCCATGCGTTTACTGTAGTCCAACGTGAGCTCTTCCCCCGCAGCCACATCACGCGTGAGAAAGAAGCTGTTGGCGTCGGCAAAGTGTGGCCACCGCGTCAGCCGCTCGTCGAGCGACACCACATCGTTGCCTTCCCACGCAACGTGCGATGCCCCCGACGAAGCACGACGCTGCGTTGGTGGGGACTGACGACAGTTTCGCCGTTTCTCTTGTCGCTCCGCGGCGAGGAGGGCGGCGGGCCAGAAGACGCGCGACAGGCCGCTGCACACGTTTGCGCGGCAGCTGTGGTTCAGCAGGTGGTGCGGCTGCGCCTGTGTTACGAGCTCCATCACGCTGCCGGTGGGGTGGGTGTAGTGCCAGGTGTCCGGCAGCTTCTCCGATGTGTCCGACAGCAGCGTGAGGAAGTGGGCGACGAGCAGGAGGGAGCGCTGCGGCTCGGCGATGACGCGGGTGCCGCGTGGGAGGGCCTTGCTGGTGAAGAGCCCGCGACTGTGAAGGCGACTCTGACCCACGTAGAGGCAGTCCAGCGCGTGTGCATTCAACAGTCTCGGCGGGGAGCTCGTTGCGGAGGAGGAGGAGCGAAATACAGCGGAACGCGCCTGGCGTGGTGGGGATGCCGCTGATTCGTTTGGAGAGCGCAGATCCGCATCCGGTGCGACGTCCGTGATGGGCGGGCTTGTGGACGTGCGAGTAAAGAGCACGACGGAGCCCTTCACGTACGCCGCGTACGCCGAGGCTTCCAAGAACCGCGCGACCAGCACGCCGACGTACGGGGTGCGCAGCAGCGTCAACACGATGATTTGCCATTGCTGCCGCATACGTGTGCAGACGCGACGAAGCACACCGCCGCGATGTTGCTGCACCGCGGCAGCCGCGCGCGAAGCGTAAGGGGACGCCGGAGGAGAAGAAGGGCCGAGGGCTGATTTGGCGTCCCCCACTTCGTCTGCCTTGCTGCCGATACCCGCATTCCTCGTCGCGTCGGCGGCGTAGACTCGATCTGCGTCGGCGTAGCTGCAGCGCTTCGACCGGCGTCGAGGCTGCTGCTGCGGCTGCTGCGGCTGCGGTAGGAGTGACGTCGATGCCGATGGGTGTGCGGAGGTGGTGTAGAAGCGGCACGGTGCGGTGAAGGGCACCGCGGACGTGTTGGCGCGCGGCGAGACGGCGGCAGATGATCGGCGCATTCGAGGTGGCGGCGCCGTCTGGGCGGGTCGGGTGGCCGCCACCGGTGCGGGGAAGCATGAGAGGCGAGCCGCAGGCGGGGCTCCGCCTCTCCCCAAAGTCCGCCTAGCTGTCTTCATGACACCAAAGCACTTCCCATGCGTTGCGGCGTACGATATATCTATATCTATATCTATATCTATATATATATATCTATGTAGTTGAACAGGGGTGTCGATGGAGTTCCACTATGCTGCCCGCAGCGCACATCCGACTGCACAACGAACAGTGTGGAGAAGAAGGTGGAGGAGCATATACATGAAGGAACATGCTGGCCGCAACTAGCGGTGCCTAGATGGCTGTCAACAACACTGGCGCTTCGACGGACTCGTGAGATCATCGATCACCACACGATGACGTGCGCTTGACGCCCTTCCATGCGCAACGCCCAACACATCTTCACCATCTTCTCTCATTACTACTGCTATTGCGGTTATTAGTGTTAACTATTGCAGCTTAAATGTGTCTTTTCCCCTTCGCTGGGATCAAAAACCTTTACTTAATTCTGTGAAGAAGACTGCGGCGTGCACCGGGAGGGTGGGGGGGGGGGGGGTAGGGACACAGGAGTCGCCATGGAGAGACGTAGGTCGTCAATCCACCACCCTCCCCCCTCCCCCCAGCAAACGACACGTAGAGGTCGGAAAGCGAAGTCGACCATAGAGAGCGAGAGACACAGACACACACACACACACACACACAGACGCGTACGCACGAAACAATCGTGCCCTTCTTCCACTACCTCCGTCTTCTTTCGCTACTCACTAAAACATCATCCGATCATCCCACTTGTCACCGCCAACGCGCCGTCTCGACCGCCATGGATGCCCCGCCGCGCCACGCGTCGGTTGCGCAGTACTGCTGCCATTCACGCTTCGGCCGTCGGTCGTTGTGGGCGTCGTGTCTTCCTTCGCTCGCCGCCGCCGCCGCTCCGCGTGCCGCGCCTCGTAAAATGAGCGAAGGCGGTCGGCGAAGTCCACCGGTGGCAGCAGCGACGGCAGGGCAGGCGGCACCGTAAACATCAGCTCGATGGTGGCCCCCTCCGCAGCGAGGGCACGTTGACTGAGCCGCTTCGACCAGGCCGAGGACGCATCGGATGAGAGGGAGCTGCCATCCTCCCTTACGGCCACACGCGTCGTCCGTGCCGCACTCCGGCGGCCTTCTGTACTGGAACAACTTCCACCGTGTATTTGGTCACCGCCGCTATCGCCGCTACGATCGCCCGTGACGTGGACAGCGGCCGGTGCCACGTCGGTGCGGAGGAGAGCGCTCAGCGCGTGGGGCGGCGTGAGGAAGAGGCAGCCGACGTCGCGCAGGAGAGATTGAATGCCCTGCCCGCTTCGCGCGTGCGTCATGAAGTGCGCCAGCAAGCGGGCAGCGGTAGCAGACCTGGTGGTGGTGATGGTGGTCGCTGAGGACGCCGAAGCGGCAACAAACGGTGAGAGTTGCAGCTTACACAGGACGCGCTCGACGTAGTCGGCGAGTGTCACCATGTTGCGTTGCGCGTGGAGATACTCGTGCAGGGTGAGGAGAATGGTGGCCTCCACCGTCGGCCAGTGCTTCTGCAGGTCGTCCACGGTGCTGGTGCCAATGGCTGATGGGGGCGTGCCTGCTGGGGGCGCCACCGAGCTCGCAGCGACGGCCGACGGCGCACACGCCTGACACACACCCGTCGGCACACACCAATGAAGACCATCGTGTGTGCGCAGCTGCTGTTGTCGCGGTGGCGGCTCTCGACCACCCACCGGGACGAGCACCCCGGGCCATCCCCCGCCTCTGCCGATGTGTTCCAGAACCCCAGCGTATTTGCGCATCGGCAGCGGCTCTGGAAGCTTCCACACGCCCAGGCCGTACAGCATCACCCCGTGCAGATCGCTGTGGGTGGCGTTGAAGAGAAGGGCTACCATCGCTTGCGGCGAGGCCGCGGCGAGGTAGCCGGCGATGACAAACAGCAGCGACATGGGGGGCGGGGACGGTGCCGACGGGGGGCCGCATCGGCTCGACACGTCCAGCACCCAAACGTGGTGCACAGAGAGGGTGGAGGCGGCAACCGTAGCAGGGGAGGGCAGCGCCGCATCCTCATCGACGGGCGCACTTCCCGACGTGCGGCTTCCACCGTTGGCACGCAGTGCAGATGCCGTCTGCGCAGTGCCGAAGGAGGAAGAGGAGGGGTGCCTGCGCTGGTGGGCGGGGGGGATAATATCCAGAGTGGTTTGCATCGCCATAAGGCTGCCGGCGACCGCCAGCGGAGTGGCGCGGTCCGCCTCCTCGTTCCCCACCTCCGCAAAACCAGAACCGGCACCAGCATTGGCAGCAGCAGCAGCGAAGGGGGAAGGTGCAACGGCGGATATCGAAGATGATGGCGCCGTGGTGCGTCGTGGCGTCCACTGCAGGCAGTTCAAAAAAGAAAGCGGGTGAATAACGCAGGGATGTATTTGCTGCGCAAGCAGACGAGGTGGGGCCCGACTCGACGCGGCAGAGCTGGCTCTGTGGCTGCTGTCGAGGGATAGGAGAGACAGGAGCGGCATGGCGGCATCGGCCAGGGCCGAAAGCGAGGAGGACGGTGCGGTGGTCTCCGCGTTGATCGTGTCGTTTCCCTGCCATGCCTGTGCGGACGCGTAGCCGTAGAGCTGCTCCAGCTGAAGGCGCGTCAGCCCCAGTGCCACTGCCTGATAAAGATGTTCCAAGTGCGACCCTGAACGGCAGTGCTGTTCAAAGCTGCGCCGGCTTCCGCAGAGGCGCTGGCAGAGAACGCAGTACTGCAGGGAGGTACGGGACGCACGCTGATGGGAGGGGAAGCTCCTAGCAGCTGCATCTGCACCCTCCTTGCTGCGCCGCGTTCTGGGCGATGCTGTCGGGGGTGCGAGGGTGATGGCGGTGGCCAACGGCACCTTCCACATAACACTCCGCGCTGTGTAAACGGGAGGCACGACGCTCAGCGTGAGGACTGACGGAGGCGGCGCCGACACACAAGGCACAGAGTCGGCGAGTGAACTCGGGAGGTCGGTGTGACCCCCGTCTCCCCGGTCGCTCTCGCTGCTACGGTGGGCAGCGTCGATGGAGGGCGATGGAGGCGGGACGGGCGAGGGAAATAAATCGGCCAGCCCGAGGGCGGCGCAGTCGTCTCGCTTCAACGATCGGCTACAGGTGCCAGCGGTGTCGGTCCACGACACCGACGCGCCAGCTGAGGCCTCGTTGGAAAAGCGCGGACCACGCGGGACGAGTGCGGCTGCAGAATGGCGCAGGTCAGCTGGGGCAGCGTGCGTTGTGTGCTTCGCCTCTGCTTCTGTTTCGGGTGTCGTTGATGCAGATGAAGTGTTTGCGGCAGCAAGCGCGGCCGTATTGTCTGACGAAGAGGTGAGCGTCGGGGAAACTCGCGCTGGTGCTGCGACGCGCAGCGGTAGCCGCTGGAGTCCACCCACGCCGCCACCGCCTCCGCCGCCGCTGCCGGATACCGCCGCGATGAGTAAACTCGCGCCGAAGGGTGCGAGCTGCACGTAGGGGTTGCCGGCGGGGACCCTTTCTGTTGGACTCGGTGAGGGATGGCTGCTCGCATGCCGCAAGGGGATTGCGCCGCCTTCGTGATCTGCGTTCTGTTCTTGTTGGAGTTCTTGTTGACGTGCCAATGAGGTCTTTACTCGCATGGATGACAGTGGAATCGGCCGGAGCAGGTCGGCTGCACTCAGGTCTTCAGTAGGAGTGGCACCGCTGCCCGCTGCTGTTGCTGCTGCAGCTGGTGCCTCTTCTGCTCCCACTGTCGACACCGAAGTGCCTTCATCAGCGGCGCAGGTGCTGCTGTAGTCAGGCCTTTGCGCAGTGCCTGAAGGCCATACGTGCCGGCCTGCCGCGTCGCTAAAGTTGGCGTCGACGGCGTCTGCCTCTGCCTCGTCCCCCTCCACCGCTTTATCCACTACAGACGTACTCGTCGTGCCGGTCGACCGCAGCTGCAGCCCGTCAAACCCACTCGATGCGAAGCGCGCCGCCACTGCGAGGCGATTGCTTTGAAAGACCTCCACCTGCTGCAGACCCGCGCCGGCCAAGTAGGACTCGAGAGCGGCACGGATGTCGTGCGGGGTGACTCCTGCGGCTGCCAGGTCTTCATAAGACATCGATGACGTGTGCGACAGCGGCCCTGCACGCGCCGTCTTGCCTGCTCCACCACGGCGGCGTCCGCCGTCGTCAGCGGGTGCGTCTGCACCTGACAACGCCAGCTGCGGTGACGCCTGCACGTCGATGTGAAACGTACAGACGTGATCAGGGTCCTGCTGCAGTGCCTGTAAGTTCCGCACGAGCCGCCGATGGTGGAAGCGATGTCCGCCGTCCTCGCCACGCAGCGTGCGGTGGCCAAAGGCGGCGACGAAGGCGGCGCAGAGGCGATCCTCCGTACGACCCAGTAGGAAGGCAACGGACGGCATGACAGGCGGTGGCGGCGGGGGCCGATAAACGGGGCTGCGTGCGCGGTTGAGGCGTGTCTGAATAGGCGGTGGAGCGACGGCGAGAGAGGCGGCCGATGCCCCGGTAGTCGTCGGTGTTTTTCCAATAAGGCGCACCTCACTCGTGACAAGTGAAGGGTAAGGTTGCGCTACTGATAATGACGATGAACCACCGTTGTCTGGCTGCTGCGGTGGAGGTCCCCAGTAGGCGAAGGAGGGGTGCCGGCGCACCGCCTGCTGCTGTTCCCGCTGCTGCTCGGCGCCTTCGCCTTCGCCTTCTACGTCCTTGTCCTCTGCTACCGTTTCGTCACCGCCCGTTTTCCGCCTATCACTTATCGTCATTTTCGTGTGCCGCTGTTGCCGCAGCCGTCGCGTGTGCGGGGGGTAACGGGGCTGTTGCTGCGGCGTCGCGTTACGCACGTACGGCCGGCTGCACAGACGGATGTAGCGGTCTTCGCTGTCGTACCACTGCGGCAACCCGGCCCGGTAGCGGTGGACGGACTGACGGAGCTGCACGCGACTGTGCGCGGCGCGTCGCAGGCGGCGCAGCGAGCGCAGCAGCTGCTCCTGCAGGCCGTCAGACCAGTCCTCCACAAACGGCAGCGTTGTAGATGACGTAGAGGCGCACACATACGAGCCGAAGTCCTTCTCCTCGCCCTCGCCCTCCGCACCGACCGCGTCGTCAGCGAGGCCGTTTTCGTTGAGCGCCGTGCCGTGCCGTCGCTGCAGCGGCAGCAGCAAAGAAATGAGCCGGCTGCAGCACTGCCCCACCATGCAGTCCACCTGTCGCAGCGCGGATCGGTTGAGGCTGAAGTGGCTCAGCATCGGGCCCGCGTCGGTGACGGAGGACAGCGCGTACCACCGCCGCAGGACGGCGCGCAGCAGCAGCGGCTCACTCAGGTGCCCGACACGACCCGCGCCGTCCAATCCAGCTTTCGCATCTTTGCTGTTGTGCCGATCCCGGGCATCCATCGTGAGGCTGGGACAGCTGAAGCCGGCAAGATCGCGCTGGACCCACAAGCGCTTATAAAAGCTCTCCAGCGGCGACAACGCCGGCTTCGCGTCGGCCGGCGTGTGCGACCAGGTAAAATCAGAATTCGTCAGCTTCCGCGCCGCGATGCGCACCAAGCTGTGTGCGGTGACGCGCGGCACGGCGAAGAGGGAAGGGACGGCCATGGCGCACGCCATTAACACGGCGTCCTCCACGCAGAGGAACTGAAAGGCGTGGTAGACGAGGGAGGCGTGCTCGTAGGGCAGGGGGAGGCTGGCGACGAGGAGACCTTTCGTGGTGAAGCTGCTCTGATTGAGCAGATAGGCCAGAGAAGAACCGCCTTTCCGCTGCTCTGCTGTTCCGTTGTCATCACCTGTGCAATGGCTCTCCTCCTCCTTTCCTTCTTTGTCGGTCTTCTGCGTGGAGGTCACCTCCGGCAGAACGAGCAGTTCCATATCCACGAGTTGCTGCAAGGCCACGCGCACCTCTGCAGCAGTCGGTGGCGACGGCAGCGCCGCCAACGCAGCCGCCACGTTTGGAAAGAAGTACTTCACGTGCAGCAGCACCGTCACCACGCCGTCCTCGAGCGGCTCCAAGGCCAGGGTGGCGCTTTGTGCGTGATCCCCGGCCTGTGTATGCCCTGGAGCAGTGAGTTCACCACCCACCTTCATCGTCCGCTCCGCCGGTGGCAGCACGTAATGACGGGGGGCCATGTGTATCACAACTCCATCCGCGGTGCGCCCCACCCGCCCACACCGCTGGCGTAGCCCACTAGGTGACACAAACGCCGTCTGCAGCCGTGTCGTGCCCGTTGTCTCGTCCGCCAACGCGCGCCGTTCCAAGCACGTGTCGATCACCACCCGCGTATTCGCGATCGTCAGCGAGCTCTCCGCGACGTTGGTGGCGAGCAGCAGCCGCAGCGGCGCCCCGGTCTGCTCGGTCGCAGTCAGCTGCTCCTGCGGGTTGCCCACAGCGGAGGAGTGCAGCAGACCGACAGAGAAGACCTCGCTGCCGCTGCGTAGAATATCCACCGGTGTCTTCGACGTGCTGTGCGCATTACCGGAGTCGAACTGCTGCTGCTGCTGCTGCACCTTCTCGCAGAGCCGCTCGAGGGACTGCAGGAGCTGATGCATCTCTGAGATGCCCGCCACGAAGAGTAGAACAGTCACCGGCGCCGTCGCGCGTGCCTCCGCCCCCCTCCTTGCTAATTCAGATACAGAAGAAGAAGTAGACGAAGGGTCGTGGGTGACGGACCCAGCTGGAGCATCCGCCGTGGAGGTGGAGAAGACGGACCGAGACGACGATGACGACGACGACGGCACCCACCGTTGACGTGCGGCCTGCATCACTTCCAGCACAAACGACGCTAAAAGGCGGGACTGGCCGACGAAGAGGTTGTAGGACGAAGGGCGGGTGCTGAAGGTTTGCGCGAGGTGCTGCCGCAGGGCTCTGCCTTCGTCGGTCAGACAGAGCGGCAGCGGACGGGCGGACGGCTGTGAAAAGCGAACCGCGGCGACACGCGGTCGTCGGCTCTGCGCACCGCCGCCTCCGTGGTGTGCGCTCTCGTCGTGGCCGCTGCGGCTGCTTTGCGGCCCGCTCGTCACCGCCGCACGCCGCGCCGCCGCGTCAAACAAGACGTGGGACTGCTCGAAGCAGCCGCGCTCCGGCTCGAGGTCATCCACGAAGAAGCGTTCCACTCGGTACGGTGCCGTCGCCACGACGATGCCCTGCGGCAGGCGGTCCTCGTCGTCGTCCACCGCCGCATCACCTTTTCCACATTTGTCCACAGCAGAAACCCCATCGCCTACGTTGCAGACTTCGCCCTCCGCGGCCTCGAGAAGCTGCAGCACCGCTGCGCGAGTTTGTGTGTCGCGCTGTAGCTGCGCTTGCCAGTCCTCCGTCGAGGGTGCGTCTCCTTGGTGCCGGCTGCTGCGTGCACGGTTCATCGCTGCCACAGCAGCAGCCGGTGGTGTCTGTTGGGTGTGCCGCCTCCTCCTCCACCACTGTTGTACGTGCTGCCGTTGTGCCGGTGACAACAGTAGAATTGGCAGGTAGGCGTCACTTCCCGCCTCGTGCCCTCCCTTCCCGCCTACCGTCGCGCGACGCTGCTCTCCATCGTCTTCCTCCGCTTCCGCTGACGGAGAGCGGGAGAGGTAGTGATCCATCGCCGCCAGACGCATGGTGGCGGACATCACGTAGTACTGACGCAGGGCGTGTCGCGTGATGATGAGGCGCCTGGATAGCTTCACCCACGCCAGCAGCGCATCCGTCTCAATATCGCGGCAGTGCGCCTCGTCCACCATCAGCGTTGTGGGTGACAGAGCTGCAACTGCTGCTGCTGAAGAAGCAGAAAATGACGGAGGTGATGTGCGAGAGGAAAGCTGAAGGGCATTTAATAGGTAGCCTGGTGTGGCGTAGATGACCTCGCTCTCCGCACAGAAGCGTGGCTCACCCCCCACGGCGTACCCCACGCGCTTCCCGATCAGCAGACGAAGTGTGCCATCTTCCTTGTCTGCCCCTTCCCACTTAGGGTTGTTTGCATGTGCTGCCTCGTGGAGCTGTGCGGGTCGGGCCGCTCCAGCGAGTAGGGCGCTGACGTACCTGGCCAGCTCGGCGCACGCCACACGCGTTGGTTGACTCACCACAACGCACAACCGACTGCACGCGGTAAACTCGCTTACGAAGGCTGCCTGGGAGGACAGCGCGAAGGGCCGCAACGCAGAAGACGTGTCCGACACCGTCTTCCGAGTTGCTGAGTCTTCTTCTGCCGTGTGTTGGGCTTCGCTGCCGTTGTCCCGCACGAGTGCGTCGTAGTGGTCTAACGTGTATTGTAGTCGCTGCTCCAGCTGTGCCCAGTGCGCGTCCATGGCGAAGAGAGGTAGCAGCACGCTCTTCCCGGTTCCGGTGGGCGCCGCACATAGAAACAGCGGCGGCGCGGCGGAGCTGACAGAGTTGACGGTAGCGCGGGGGGCGGCGCTGCCGTACGCACCGATCTGCGCACACCAGTCGTCGCGGGAGGCGTAGAGCGGCATCAACGACACCTCTGGATGCAGGTGCGTCACGGTGGCCCACGGAACGCGCTTCTCCTGCTGGATGGTGAGGAGTAACTTCACGAGCAGCGCACGCGAGGGCGGTGGTGACCGGTCAGACGCGATATGCGGGTGCGCGTTGCTGGCCGCTTGACCAGAGGGAGTCGAGGAGATGGGAGGGGCGGAGACGGCGGAAGGCGACGGAGAAAAGGGCATCTGCTGACGTGACGGCGATGCCGCCGGAGGAGGAGGGGGTGCGGCGAACAGACGTGCCAGCGGCGACGCCGCGCTTTCTGGGTTTTGCCGACTCGCCGCCCCTTTCCTTCCTGACGAGGCGTCATGATGGAACAACGAGGCGGCTCCGTCCGGTCGGGTGCGTCGCACCGCGCCGCCGCCACGACGGGCGATGCTCCGCAGCAACTCGGCGGTGCGATCATTTTTGGTCGTCGCATCGGATGCTGCTGCGGTGGTTGCCCCGCCCGAGGAGAGGATCGACGGCGCTGGAGGCTCGTCCGCTGGGGGGCCTTCGTGCCGATTGCGAAGGAGCAGCGTGCTCGACAAGACGGCGTTGGGGTTTCTTGGGCCAACGAGCAGCGCGTGCGACCGGGCGCGTGCGGCGTGGAGAGGCGAAGGCGCCAGCCGTCGCGACGGGCCGCGCCGCCACCGCATCCACATAAATTTGCAAGTTTGATGAAGCTAAAAGGGTAGATTGTGGCAACGGATAGTGGATGCTAACAGCATTGCCCACAAGCTAGTCGAGGGACAGAGTGGGGCGGTGGAAAGAGCGGGCGCGGTAGATTCACAGGACTATCATAGAGTGCTATTACCATCAGAGAGAGAGAGAGTGTGTGTGTTCATAGGTGCTGTTCATTTTTTCTTTCTGGTTTTCACTGTCTACACGCTTACGGCTGAGAACCGCTGTGGAGTGAAGCGCAAGAAGACCGACTTCTTCGTTGGCATCGTTTGGTGGTGGTGGGGTATTGCATCGCCAGCGGTGAGTCTCCCATCTCCCCTCTCTTCTGCCAACGTACACACACACACACACACACACAGACATGCACGCAAGGCAGCTCCACTACCAAGTGCAGGAAAGCAGCGCGTTACAGGGCAGGAATTCTTTTCCCCCTTTTTTTATCTGGAGAGAGAAGCACGAGGAACAACAACGAGAGGAGGAGCGCCGAATGCCTCCCAATAAGATGCACTAGTCCACAAATTGAGTAAAATAGAAAAAAGACGACCTCCGCGCATTTGGCACACACCCGGTGCCACTCCAATCAGGAGACGACGGTTCTCGTGACCACGACAACGATGAAACACGAGCCGCAGCGGGCAACAGAGAACGACAAAGTAGCCGCTTAACAGACTGACACCAAGAGAGACCTTCAAAAAACACCTGATCCTTTACATGAATCAAGAGAGAGGGAGGGGGAAGGGGAGTCATCTATTGCGTTTCCGTGCTTGCAGTGGCATATATATATGTATAAGTAAATAGTTTTCCTGTTTCTTGGCGATCTACTCAACGACACATCCTCTTTGCCTGCGCTGACGGAGAAAGGCAGTTGTACTACAGAAAGCGAGAGGGAGAGAGACAGCTTGTTTTTTTTTTCCCAAGTAAATATAGAGAAGGCAAGAAGGAGAGAGAGAGAAAACACACGGCATACGCAGTTGTACGCGTGGGCATCACATACACGAACATAAACACATGGGTGCAGCGGGGGAGCACTCTACGGTCCTGGCACAAGGAGGAGGGGGGAAAGGGGGCCGCACCGCGAAGCACTTACAGCAAAGAAATATATATATCTATTGATGAACGGCATGACAACGCACATCTTTGGACAGTGCATGCGGGAAATACACACCAGCTGGATAATGAAAAGGCGCGCCAGCGAAACATCAACAAAGCAAAGAAACGAATGGAGGTGCTAAGACAAACAAAAAAAGTACAAATATATATAGTTGCGGCACTTTTGAGACGTGTGCGGATATCTCAGCCGTTCACGTGTGCTATACCATACATCATATCGAGTAGAAAGACCTCTCTCTCACTCACTCTCTCTCTCTATACTTCACAAACACTGTGGTAAATATAAGTGAAAAAAATATATATATATATATTCAGCAGCTTTCGAATTACTGCTACTGCAGGTTCATCGGCAGGGTGCGTTTCATGTTACTATCGACGTTGAAGGGCTGCGTCAGCGAAAACTTCGAGTCGAGGTTGATCGGCTTCGACGCGCTGAGCTGCGGCACCTGCTCGAACTTCTTCTTGGTGAGCATCTCGCGCGTCTTGACCATCGTCTCCGTGTAGGAGAGTTCCTTTGTGTTCAGCAGAATGTAGGTCAGGCACTGCGTGGCCGCTCCACCGGCGCCGGTCGTGCCGTTGCCCAGTGCCGCCGTGTTGCCCACATCCGCGGAGGTCTGCGTGTCCATGCAGCCGGAGATCATCAGAACATCACCGGGGCAGAAGTTGTTCTTGCGAACCTGCTGCATGTGGTAGGTGCGGCTGCTGTTCACGCCGCTACCACCGACGAAGTTATAAGGTAAGTCCATCATGCTGCCGGAGTGGCAGCAGTCGAAGAGGATGGTCAGCCGCACTCCCTGCGGAAGGTTCTCGCCGAGAATCTTGAAGATATCGTTGTCGACGATGCAGCCGGCGGAGGCGTAGTCCGAGGGACAGATGACCTGGTCGTACTCCTCGTACTGATCAGTTGACTTGGTCTGCGAGCCGTGACCGCTGTAATGCATAAAGAGCACATCGCCCGACTTGGCCCCCTTCACGAGCCAGGCCATGTACTTTACGATGTTCGCCCGCGTGGGCTGCGCCGTAGTGTTCGGGAAGTCGCTCTCATCCACCAAAATGGCCATCTCCGCCACCGGGAACTTGATCTTCTGGAAGGTCGCCAGCTCCTGGCGGACATCGTTCACGCACCCGCTCAGCTCGGCCGACGAGCCGTAGTAGTTAATGCCGACCAGCAACGCGCGGACGTCGCCCTGTTCGTAGGCGGGGGCCTCGTAGGGGTGGAAGCTGTCGGTGTTGTCGGCGTCCTCGAAGGCCTGATTGATGTCGACCGGGTCGGGGCGAGAGACTTCGCCGATGTACGACACGACGTACGGGCCCGCCACCTTGATCAGGTTCATGCCGAGCTTCATCCAGTTAACCTGGCCGTTTGGATCGCGGCTGGCCTTGGCTGCCCCGCACAGCTGGTAGATGCAGTTCATGTCGAAGCCCATTCTGCTCGTGTATTTCTTCTTCTTCTTCTCTGTAGGGGGTTTGATGTCAAAAGGAAGAGAGAAGAGGAGAGAGGAGTATCACAAGGCAACACCACATTGACGAGGAGATGTGCTGCTATCGTGAAGAGGGGAATCGGGAGCTGGGGCGGTGAGAAGGGGAGGCGGTGGCGCTTCACGGCTGCACGCACGCAGGGAGACAGATGAGAGGGCGTTTTATGTTAACAACAAACAAAATGTTAGCGGAAAGCCAAAGAGAGCAACGACTCAGCTGGGCGGCGAGAGGGCGAGAGGTGGGTAAAGGAGTATAAAACAACAACAATAAAATAAAAAGGAAAGGAGAAAGATAGAGAAGATGGCAGGGAGTACGACAGAGCTGTCGACGATGCCGCGGTCGAACACAGCGGAGAGGGAGGCGACAAGAGGGAGAAGGTGTGGAAGAAGAAGAAGAGAAATATGCGGTGGGAGAGACAAACGGTGATACGGTGCCGAGCAAGAGGGCCCCGGTCCCCTACTCCTACGAAGCCAAGGGAAAAAGGTTTGCTCTTTCCATTCGAAAACAGAGAAGTGACAACAACAACAGCAAAAAATATGGATACGTGTGCCTCTCGTTGACGCATCTACAAGAGGCGCAGCCTACGCAAAACACAGCTTGGCGCAGAGACCCCGCCAAGGCCTGCGTCTCCACACACACACACACACCACACGTCCTCCTTTCGCTTCCTTCGGCAATGATGTTCTGTCTTCTCACCCACTGACAAGCAAAAAAGACACCCAAAGTACTGCAAGTCATCGTTATCACTACCATTCTTATCACTTCTTTCCTCGACCAGCACTTACCTTACAAGTTAAACACATGCACAGCTTAAAAGTCAAAGGGACAGACAGTCACAGAAACACACGTTCACGCACCGGCAGATATCGGTGCCGCCACCACCAGCCGCACTATCGAGTCGCCAGCATTCTCCGGTCTCCCGCGGTTACCCGGCGGGGTACACGTGGTGGTGGTGGTGGTTCGCTTGCGACTTCTTCCGTGATGTTGCTCTCGGCATTTTTGTTTTTGCCGCCGTATTCGTCTTGCTGGCGTGCAAAAAAACTCCTCCTCTCCAAAAAACAAGGGAAGGAGGAGGCATCACCGAGGACGCGTGCCTGCTTCACATGGGAGGGGGGGGGGGGGTAAATAACCACCCAAAGGCGGCGGACAGCTATCAGACAAACGAACCAATACCTTTGGAGAAGCAGCTAAACAAAACGGGCGGTAGCAGGAGGGAGATGGGAAAGCTGCTCCTGACCCGGAGTTACTCCTGAGTTGTCGTCCTCATCTCCTCCTTCTCTGCACACAGATACATATAATCCCCTTCCGTGGTTCTTCATACGATTGGTCGAGGCGTCAGTTTACTTGGGTCCCTGCAGCTCCGCCATCATGCGGGTCAGCTCCGCCTGTTGTTCCTTCAGCCACGACTCGCCCCCTTTGCTCACGTACTCGTCGTACGACTTGGCGTACTTGGCCACCTCCTTGCTGAGCTTCTTGACCTCCTTCTCACCCACCTCCTCCCCCGCGACTGTCGTGGTGGGCATGCCGGTGCTCGGGTCGAACACCGCGTACTTCCGCTCCGCCCCGCGCTGTTCATCCTGGCGGCGGAAGTACTCGGAAGGCGGGTAGCTGAACAGCGCCCACTTCTCTACGAGCTTCCGCTTCGTCTCGACTTGGTTCGCCAGCTTCTTTTTGCGGTCCCCCTCCTGCTGCTCCCGCCGTTCCTGCAGCTCCTTGCGCAGCAGCGCCGGCTCATCGTTCTTCCACGTGGTCGGGCCGGCTGGGCTGTCCTCCAGCCGCACCCCCGCATCGACGAGCCACTCATCGCGCACCTTGTCACACAGAGGCAGGAACACCGGGACCACCTTCTCTGCCTTCGCGGCCTCACGCACCGCATCGCGGAAGCGGACGAGGGTGTCCACCACCGCGATTACGCGTGCCTCGCCGTCGCCGGTGGACTGCTGCTGCAGACCGACGTCATCGGAGCCTTCCACCACGCCGAAGACGCGGAACATCTTCGTGATGTAGCGGCCTACCTTTCGCAGCAGCGTCGCGCTCGGCCGCTCGCCGGAGAGGAGGTACTGATTCGTGGCCGCCACCAAGCTCATCAGCTGCTGCAGCGCCGTCACGGTGTCGAAGTTGTCTTGCAACGCGGCGTGCACCGCCCCTTCCACCTCCACCCAGCGGTTCAGCAGCTCGCGGTCTTGCGTGTTGGCGCCCTGCGGCAACGCCCACGCGTCCCCGCGCAAAACGATATCGATGCTGCCGAAGAAGGCACGCAGCACCCGCTCCTTCTCCTTCGCCTCGTCGAGCGACTGGTCGGAGAAGTTCATCGGCTTGTTCCACGGGTTGGCGAGGAACAGCAGCCGCATCGTGCGCGGCGTCACGCCAAGGTCGTCGAGGGCTTGGCGGATCGTAATGAAGTTCTTCAGGCTCTTGCTCATCTTCAGACCCTTGATGTGCAGGTGCCCGCAGTGCAGGAAGTAGTTCACCCACTGGCTGTGCAGGTTGCACGCCTCGCTCTGCGCGCACTCGTTGTCGTGGTGGGGAAACTTCAGATCCCAGCCGCCGCTGTGGATGTCCATGTTCGCGCCGAGGATGTCGGAGGCCATGACGGAGCACTCGATGTGCCAGCCGGGGCGTCCCTCGCCCCACGGCGACGGCCAGCGCGGCTCGCCGGGCTTCGAGAACTTCCACAGCGCAAAGTCGTTCGGGCTGCGCTTCTCGCCCTCCACGCCCTTCGACAGCGCCCCCTCTCCCTCGGCCATCTCGTCCTCGGTGGTGTTGCGGTCACCGCCGGGCTTCAGCTTCGGGTAGTCGTGGCCGGCCTTGATGTACGCCTCCGTGTCGAAGAAGACGGAGGACTCCCCCTGGTAGGCAAAGCCGTTGTCGATGATCGTCTGCACAAACTCCACCACCTGCGGCACATACTCCGTCACCCGCGTCACGATGTCCGGCTCGCGAATGCCGAGACGCTGCATGTCGTCGAAGAAGGCCCGTTCGTACTTGCGGGCGTGGTCCTCGAAGATTTGCTGATCGCAGATGCTGTCACCCTTCTGCTCGTCCAGCAGGTCGCCGTTCACGCTGCTGGCGGCGGCGAAGAGGGCCTCGAAGTCGTCCTTGGCGGCCGCGATCTTCTCCCTCGTCTCGGCCAGCTGCGCCGTCTTCAGCTCCGCCTCCATCAGCTTCTCATCACGGTCCGTTTTGGCGCGGCTGTTCGCGTTCTCCGGGATCGGCTCCGCCAGCTTCGCCTTGCGCTTCGCCAGGCTCGCCTCCGCTGCCGCCACCGCCTCGGTTGTGAAGGCCTTCAGCTTCGCCAGGTCGCCGTCGTGCAGCTCGCCTGCCTTGAAGTCGTCCAGCAGTTTATTCACGCGCGCGCGCTTAATGATTTTGTCATCGATGTCCGTAATGTTCATTTGGTAAATGACGGAGTAGCCGAAGTAGTCCTCCATGATGCGGCGGAGGATGTCGAAGGTCAGGTAGGCGCGGGCGTGGCCCATGTGGGAGAGGTCGTACACCGTCGGACCGCAGGTGTACCAGCGCACAAGCCGGCCATCAAGCGGCGCGAAGTCCTCGACTGTCTCCGTCAGCGAGTTCGCCACCTTCAGTCCTTTGCCGTCTACCTGCGTGGGCGGGTACCAGACCGGGTGGCGGTCCCGCTTCACCGGGTGCTCGCCGTTCAGCCCGGCAACGACCTTCGCGGTGCTCGCCATCGTAGCGGCGACGCGGGTGTAAGGGAGGCGCCGTGCACGACTCGCTGCCAGGTATGCGCGGCGCTGCAGTGAAAGAGTGGAGCGGTGAGCTTCGACGAGGGGAGTGGCGGGGGAGAAGGTGGACGAAGGGAGAGCAGGGTGAATGCGCCGGAATGCACGGTGCACCGGTGCAGAAGGACGAAGTCGCAGCAGCTTGAAGCGACGGGGGTTGAAGGAACGGGAGTAGTAAGGAGAGGAGAGAGTGACAAGACGAAAACCTCGACGAGGGATAGAGCGTGTACGTTGATGTACACACCAACACGAATGTAAGGAGTGAAGGCGAGAGGCACAATGTAAGATAAGCAAAAGAAGGCTGGGCGATGCTCTACCGTTTAGCGCGGAAGAATTTGATGATCAACTGCGTGGCGAAGAGAGAGAGAGAGAGAGAGAGAAAGATGCAATAGGCAGCCACAGCAATAACAGCAAGAAGACGCGGAAGACGGCACGGTCGATGAGGCCGAAATCCATCCGTGGTGCGCACGAACGTGAAGAGTTGTAAAACGAAGGAGCGGGGAGAAAAATAGCGGAGCAAACGAGAACCGCCCCCATAAGGAAAAACAGAGCACGCGCTTTCCCGTTCGAGATCAATGTGCTGCTGATCTCACGCATTGGCGCGAGACACCCACGCAGCAACGCCGAAAAGAAGTTGCCGCATGCAGACTTCCCCCGTTGCACCACATAACGCACACACGTCGATGAATAGTGCCATCCCAGCTCCGGTACGTACGTACGTGCGCGGGTAGCTCGACCCGGCCCCGTCGGCGCATCGCTACATCTCGTAGAAGTATTTCTTCTTTCTTCTTTCTTCCTTCAAGGTATGGAGGTTGGTTTGAGGGACCCCCCGACCCCCACCACACACACACACGCAGATAAAGTAGTATATGATGGACCTCTATGCGCATCTATCGGACGGAGAGCAGCACAACTATAATCTATCAGTAAATGGAAAACAAATGTGAGGAAGCAACAGCAGACAACAACAACAACAACAACAACAAACAAAATGCTCTATTCTCGCTTGCACATGTTCCGACTTCTTCTAAATGTACGCGTCAAAGCGCAACATCCCATGCGGATTGGGCCGCTGCGAGCCGGTGGAGGAGCGCTCCGTCACATCGACCGCGTTATCCCCCCACCCATCATCCGGCGTCGAGTAGCTGCCGTCATCGGAGGAGACGCCCCCGTTGTTGTGACGGCTGAGCGGGCGCGGCGGCGGGGTGGGGCGGTGGCGGCGGCGGCGCAGCGACGACAACCCTCCGTCGTTTCCGTGCCGACCGCTGCTGCGTAGAATGTAAGGCGTCTCCTCGTTCGTGTCGCCGTAGTCGTCCGCATCGTCGCTGCCCATTTCCCGGCTGCGGCGGCCCCCGTTGGTATTGCTGTTGCCGTGGTGGTGGTGGTGGTGTCCGCGGCGCGGTCGAGAGCTAGAGTTGGTCAGCGAGCTACTCGTCGCGGCGTCGTGGATGTTCTTCGGCGATTCGCCGTCGACCGGCTCCTCCGTGCTGCCGAGGCCGTTTCGATCGTTGCTGCCCTTGTTGTTGACGCGTGCGCCCTCCGTGAGCGCGGTGCCGGCCCGTACGCCCATGCCCGTCTCCGTCATGAGTGGCGCAATGATCTTCGCCGGCGGCGGAGGCTGGATAAAGTAGTCTGCCCCGAAGGCCGCCAACACGACGACCGCCAGCGCGGCGACAACGCCGGCGAAGATGTACCACCCGTTTATGTTCGGCGACGGCCTCGGCCCCGCTGTCGTTGTCGTGAGGGGCGGCTCGTCACTTGCTAAGAGTGCGAGGTTCACCATGGCGAAGCCCACCGCCTTGTCGCCGCCCGTGGCGGCGTTCGCTGCCGGCCAGGCAGCGGAGGTGTTGAAGGAGAGCTCGGCGACGGAGCAATACGTCTGATTGCCGAGCAACGGCACGCAGACGAGGGCGACCTCGTTGTTGCCGCCCGTCGCCGCCAGGCCAAAGGCGGTGGCCCCCTCCGGGATCGTGCTCCCGTTGAAGTAGCAGTACGGCAGCTTCTCGGTAGCGGCGACGGCGTTGTAGAGCATCTCACACAGCAGATTTGGGGCGAAAAGAAATAGGCCAGCCGTGCGCCCCGTCGCGTACAGAAGGGCATCGGTGGTGATCGTCTGCACGGTGTCCAGCAGGCGTGCACCGATCGCCGCGTAGTACACCCCGTCTGGCACCAACACCGCCCGCGCGATCTTCGCCAAGTCTGCCGTGGTGGTGTAAAGCATGTAGTCGGAGAAGTACGAGGCGTGAATCGGGTAGGTGGCGAGGATCGCGCTGCCGTTGGTGGTCAGGTCCTGCACAGCCTTGTACGGCCGCATGTCCACGTTGCTGGTGTTCGTGAAGGGGTAGGTGGACTCTATGTACCGCCCGTTGCGGTTGAGCAGAAAGGTGTTGGCGAGGCCGAGGGGTGGGAGCAGAACGCCGAAGACGAACTCGCCGATCCCGGAGAAGGCGGAGTAGGCGGTGGAGTTGGCGAGAACGCGCTCGAGCACGTAGGAGACGATGGCGGAGTTGGTGCGAGCGTAGAAGTAGCTCGCGTTGAGCCCCGGCTGCGTCGTGTAGCTGAAGATGCTGCTGGTCGACGAGAAGAGAGAGCTGACGAAGGTGGCTAGCGTGGGCACGGTGCCCGTCGGCCCTTCCGCCGCACCGAGGTCGAAGCCCGTCTCCGTAATGGAGGAGGTGTGGGACAGCAGCATGTTCAGTGTAATGGGCACACCCGGAAAGCCCGGGTTTATCAGACTTGCGCCGCCGCTGTAGGTGGGGGGCAGGTAGGCGGACGAAATAGGATCTGTGCGTGCAAAGGGGAGCTCGTTGGTCGACTCGAGGTACATGACCGCCATCGACGCCATCAAGTCGGACAGCACATCCGCGCGGTACGCGGTGTCGCGTGTGTTCGGGATACCTGCCGTATCCAGCCACGTAGCGGCGGAGGTGATATTGTACCGCGTCTGCATCCCTCCCGCGCAGTTGTAAGCGCTGTAGTCATTCATGCCGGCCCCGACGATGCTGCAGCTACCAGCGAAGATGCCCGTGTCTTGCGAGGTGAGTAGTGAGTAATAGTAGCAGCTGCCGGACGCTGAGAACTGGGATAGTCCTGAGCTTCTTGCGGCGGCGAGGGTGCGTGAAACGTCCGACACCATTGCAGCAGCGCAGCTCCACAGCACCAGCAGCACCCACAACGCCTTCACAGGCGCGCGACGCGCTGAGCCGTTGGCGAACATGCGTGCAGGGCGTCGCCGAGCGTGTGCGCTGGAAAGGGAAAACAGAAAACCAACCTACCTTACTCCTCCACCTCGCCTGGCAGATGACCGGCTAAATATATATATATATATATATATGAATGTATGAAGCCCGCAGAGGAGCGTCTGTTGGTGTGGGCGTGTAACGTGCTTCTATGCAAACGGTCTAGCTTCCCCGAACAGTGAGGAAAGGATCGAAGAGGCAAAAGAAAGGTCAGCTCCGCTAGCGTGCTGTGTGCTGCGTGCGTGTCGCAGTGCCTCGCCACAACGGTGAATAGTGCCCCAAGACGCAACGTTGAAGAGGAGAGACAGACGGTGAGAAGGGTCAACAGCAACCACCAAAAGAAACGGTTAAAGAAAGTCCAGTGAGAAAACGGTCGAAGGGGGTGGGGGACTGAAGTTATGGGACCGGCTTCTCCAGCGGTCCTCCCCGTCTGCCCCCTACTGCTCCACCTTTTGCATTGGAGTGTAGGTATGCGTAAGCGTATCCCCGCGAAAAAGGGCATGTAATTCTACTTGAGGAGTATCGGCACAATCTTCTTCTTCCCTTTTCCTTTTAAACCTCGTTTTCCGCTTGTTTCGGCATAAAACATATTGGCTCACGGATTGAATGCCAACACCGTCCAGTAGGCACTGCTACTGCTCCGTCGCGGGTGAGGGCCACTGCAAACACGTTGCCTCAAGGGACAGCCATAGCGCAGACGCAGCCGCGCTACTCTGCGCATCCCGCTCTGCATGCGGCGCCGAAGGCCAACGCGCAGACGGTTCGTGTTGTCCGCGGCTCAGTACGAAGCGCGAAGTTCCATCCAGCTGCGCCGTCCACGGGCTCCTCTTTTCCATGAGAAACGAGAGCTCGGCCCCGGTCACAACCCGCAGCTGCCCCACCCGCACCAACGAGGAGGGCTGGCTTCCACCCGCTGCGTCGGGGGAGAAGGGCGATTGATCCAGCACGGCCGGCCCACACAAGCACAGCGGAGGAGCGGCCGGCTGGACGGCGGACGGCGACGCACCGTAATGGGGCGCCGCAGCCGCCGAAGTTGAAGGGTGAGGGAGAAGGCGCAGGCGATGGCGTGACGGCGCAGGGGCAGCAGCAGCAGTTGACGATGGTGGTAGCGATGATGTTGCGGTGGTGACTGCCGCGCCGCCTTCCTCTTGACGCATAAAACCCTCGGTTGCGTTACCAGCGGTGGAGGAGGAGGACGACGGAGAGGTGGCTGCGGTGCCGCTCAACGCGATGGGCCCAGATAAGCGCAAAAGACGCCGCCCACTTGCCCAAGCGCCACGACGTCCGCTACTGTTCTTACTACCAGCGCTGCTGCTGCTGCGACCACCGGCTGAGGCAGACATCGCCTCAGCGGACGCACGCTCGTTGCCCTTCGCTGCTCCTCCTCCTTCGAGCTCTGCCTTCGTGTTCTCGGTGTTCCTGCGCCGACTCCCCGCCGCTGACGCCTGCACGTGCCCGCTCGCTGCCCACCGCGCCTGGGCGGCCGCCAGCGCCACCGCCTCCTCGGCCTTCGCCACCAGCGCCCACACGCCACCGTACATGCAACTCGGCAACGTGGTGTCACGCAGGACGGTGCTGCGGAAGAGTGTCCACCACGGGTGCCACACCGGTGCACGCGAAGGCAACGAAGACGAGGAGGAGGGGCATGGAAGTGTGCCGCTGCCCATCTCGGCGTGCGCCGCTTCCCGTGCCACGAGCGTGGAGACGAGCCCGACCATCAGCAGCAGCGACTGCGCCGGCTGAAGCAGCAGGGCGAGGGCGAAGCCATCGGCCTTCAGCAGCCGCGGAATGGGCCGCGACAGCAGCAGAGACACGTCCACCACGTACGAAGCGAGCTCCGTCGTCCACAGAACTAGCGTTGGCTGCTCGAGCAGCTCATCCATTAGGTTGTGACTCAAGAAGAGCGCCGTTAAGACGAGGGTGGCGGCAGCAGTGCCAAGCACCTCGCTCTCCTGCGAAGGACTGAGAACAGCCCCGGTGCGTGTACCTTCACCTTCGCGACCGCCGCCTTTGCCCGTTATGGCGGCAGCCGCCACAGCATCGAACGCGATGCTTGCCTCTCCGCCGACGTCCCCACTCGCCGCGGAGCCTTTCCCACCGTAGCGCCGACTGCCCTCGCCCCCCTTCACAACACCCCCTCCGGCGCTGTCCCCCGGGAAGCTAATCCGCGCCAGATCAGAACCGAACACCGCGCTGACGGCCGCCTCGCCGGTGTAGCGCAGTGCGCCCTTTCCTCGGCCACTAGCGGCTGCGACGCCGGCGGTGGCGTAAAGGCCCTTCAGCGACATGACGCGGCGGGCGACGAGGTACAAACCCTCCAGCGTTGTGCCGAGGGCATCGCGGGCTAACGTGAGTCGACCGCTGCTGCCCTTCGAGCTGCTGCCGTTGCTCGCCGACGAGTCCTCCAGGTGGGATGAGGAGGCACCGACAGCAGCATCGGCGCCGACCATCCCACCGGCTGGCCCGCCACCCCTACCGAGCCCGTGATGGCTGCCCGTGCGCACGGAGAAACCCATGTGACGCAGCGCCGTCGCCTCTTCCCCGCGTGCGAGACCGTACAGCAAAATGAGCTGCGCCGGATCGCTGCTGATACTCGCCCCACCGGACCCCGATCGAGTCCCGAATGGCGTGAACACCGGTGCGTTGGAGCTGCTACTGCGGCGGCGGAGATGCTGCTGAAGCGCGCTGCAGAGCTGCGGGTGGCGACGACGCACGGCAGCTTCTTCCGGGCTCAGCGTGACCTGCTTGTGGCGCCAACGCCCACCGCCACGACGCGGCTGCTGCGCCATCGCGTTGTTTTTGTCGCTGTTGTCGGCTCGTGTAGGTGCTGCGGTATTGCCGCCGCCGTTCGTTGCCTGCGCGGTGCCCGTGGAGTTGGAAGTGCTGTCGGACGCGCTTTGCGCTGGAATCGGCAGCATAACGAGTGTGCGAGCCACGTAGAGGTCAACGCGGGGGCATCCGGCGGTGGACGCCTGCGTGCAGCCCCACAGGCGCAGTGGCGTTTGCGGATCGCTGTCTGCGTCCTCGCGTTGATCTGCCGTTGACTTCGCCGTTGAGGAAGCTGACGAGCGCAGCAGCGGCAGCAGTGCGTTCACCCACGGACGACAGCGTTGTTCGAGCAGCACCTCCGGCTCCGCGGCGCGAAGGCCGAAGACGAGGCGGGAGTTGGTGCAACCCATTGCACCTTCGCCGCCCTCCACCGTGTTCTTTGCGTCCACTTCGTGTTGCCTGCGTGATCGCCCTGCTGACAACGACGCGCCGCCCGATTCCGCCATCTTTTCCACCCCAACGCCGCCTTCCCCCGCGGTTCCCGAGGACGTGCGGAGGTGCGGACCGTAGGAGTCCACAACGTACATCACGAACCGACCCGACGTGCGAGAGGACGATGCAGCAGACGGCACCGCCGCTGCCACCGTCCCGTCGACCTCCGTCGGCGTCCCTGCGGTCGGCACCCAGACGCCGATCCGCGATCCACGCGCAAGAACATGAAACGGCAGCAACAACACCGGCGGCGGCATCCACAGCCGCGGCGCGGCGTACGGCGCCGACAACGACGGGTGTGCGTAGGAGGTCTGCAGCACCTCTTCCACGAGGACGCAGTTGAAGATGGCGGGGAGGGACTTGGTGAAGATATCCTCCGCCTCGTGGGGGGCGATGCCCTGGCGTGCCATCACCGCTGCCACGTGCGGGTTCTCCTCGCGCAGGGCGGAGTGCATCCCGTCAAGGAAGGCGACCAGTTTCATGAGACACGACAGCCAGTAGTGACGCGCCTCGCGCTGCTGTTGCTCCTGCTGTAGTAGAAGGGCAGCGGCATCCGCGTTGATCTCGCTGTTCGGGCTGCTGACATCAGCGGGGTGGCGCGTACGTGGAAAGCTGCGAGAGCCGCTCAGGTTTGCGCGGTTGCTACACGGAACACCGCACCCCATGCTCGTCTCCTGTTGCTGAGCGCTACCGTCGTGCGACTGCGTAGGCCGCTGCACTGTTCCGTGCGCCACCGCAGCGGCGTCCACCGGCGTCCTTCGGCCTGCATCCTCTTCCTTGACGGCTGTCCCGGTCGATGCCGCTGCGCTGGAAGAGAAGGAAGGGGAGGGTGTCAGGAGGTCCAACCAGTCTTCCATCAGCGCCGCCGCTACCTGCTGCACCAGCGGCTCCTCCTCACTCACGAGGCTGACGGTGGCGCGGAGCAGCAGTGCGTCGGCGCGGACGGAGGGCGACATCGCTTCCGCTGCCGGGTCTGCTGGGGTGGTTGCAGCGTTCTTCGCCTTCTCCACGTCCTTCAAATCATCCCAGTCGTCAAAGCGGCGAAGTGGTTTGATCTCATTGCGCACCCCACGTCGCCGTCCTTCACGCTCCGCGTGCTCTTGACGGAGGACCGCGAGCGAAATGTCCAGGTGGTGTTGCAGCTCCTTCTTGCTGCTGCGGTGCTTGAAGTTGGTCTTCGGCAAGAGGGAGGATGACGCAGCGAGCTGCCGTGAGGACGAATACGCCGAGGAGTAAGAAGGAGGAAAGGATGACGAGGCGGGTGAGGCAGGACTGAGGGCAGACCGCGCCGCATCTTCAAATTCGATGCGTTTCCGATTGTGGGAGGGTCTCCCTTTCTGTAGGTGGCGATCGACGGTGGCACGTTTGCTGTGCGTGTGCGAGCGCCGCCGCTTCGAGGCACGTGCCATCTCTTCCCCACCGCCACCGCCGCGTGTTTTACTGAGCGAGGCGCCGTCCGTCACATCAACATCGCCATCCTCATCCTCATTCTCGCCTACACTGCTGCCGCTACTTGCGGAAACGCTGTCGGTGGCCGCATCGCTGCTGGTTGCCGCGTCGGACGCCTCCTCGTCCTCACTCGTGCCGCTCTTCACGACCGTCGCGAGGCCACTGCGCTCGCCCGCACGCAGTAGCGACGGGACGGCGTAGATTTCCTCAACACACAGGAAGTGCAGCACGTGAAGAGCCCACATACTGGCCGGGCAGGCGTCTGCCATCCGCTGATGGTCCGCGGCTTGCGCCGCCTGCGCCGCCTGTGCCGCCTGTGCCACCGCCTCAGCGGTGGGTGGACCTCCGCGCTTCCCTCTGCGCTTAGCCGTGCTGCCGCTGTCGAAAGGCGGAGCAGTGGCAGCGGCCGCGGCGACGGCACGCGTGCGCCCGTGCGCGTGTGAACGCGTCTTTGCGAGCGCGTGCAGCGCGGCGTAGTCTGGACTCCACAGACAACCCGCATGGAGGAGCAACGTCAAGAAGAGCGCGTCATTCCCGATGACACGCCGCCATACGGCAATGCAGCGACGCCACCGTTCGTAGCTGTCCACAATGCACTGCGCATGGGCAAAAGCGTCGCTGGGGCCCGTCGCGGAGGGTGAAGTCGGCGTTTGAGAGGGCGAGGTGGGCGACGCACCGACGAGGCGAGACGGTGCGGGGTCCGCCGAGAGGAATGCGTACAGAGAAGGAAGCAGCCTCTCCACGTTCGGGTTTGCATTCATGGAGGAGCGACGCTGAAAAAAAAAGGGGGGGGGTCCAATGTAGTTTGTCAACAGTTCAAGGTTCACAGTACACAAACTAGCAGTGATAGAGGTAGAGATAGAGGGAGAGCTGTCGCAGCGTCTACGGAAGGCGAAAACTTCAAAACAGAAGAATAAAAAGGTCTATCCTGTAGCGTGTGATGCTCGTTCACGTCTGTTGTCGCTGATCTCGCCGTCATCACCGGCTTGCTCGCCGCTTCTCCTCTTGCTGGTTCCGTTTCAATATAAAATAGTTTTCCCTTTTTGCCGCTGCGTGTGCGTCCGTCACGGCAGCTGCGCGACAGGCGGATGTGCCCTGCTCGCCTTCTATCGTGCTTGTAGAGAGATGTGTTTGATGTGTATGCCACGGATATCTCTGCTTCAACGTGGGACTGTACGATGACACGTAGCTCTGCGAAGCGCACGTGGAGGGAAATCACGAGATACGTTCACACCCACACCCGCACTCAAAAGGCAACAGTACACAGAGAGACGTGCACAGAGGTGATGAAAGAAGGTTGAGAGAGGTACGAGGAGCAGAGAAGTAATCGCACGCTTGTTTGTCTTGTTTCGTGTTGACGGAGGTAACAACCGCTGACATCGCAACGACCGCTTCGCTGATCTACGCAGCAGCATTGCAAGACAGAGTTGCCACGCAGGAGCGATATCTAAGAAAGAAATGCAGGGGGAAGCGGCATGAGAGCGATGATTTCTTGTGTACGTCATCTGTGTTCAAGGCACTCATACAGGTGTATAAATAGATATATACGAGTGCAGCAACAAAGATCGGAAAAAAAATCAACAACAACCTAAGTCATTAATAATAATAGCTAAGGTGGGGAGGCCCGCGTGTCGAAGCGACTCAAAGAAACAGCAATAACTCGAGGAAAAAAAAACACCAACGGGAAAAGAATATGAATGCCTTTCTCTCTCGTCTGCCGTTAATCGCAGGCGTTGTAGAGGTACTGCATCAGCTGCTCCTCATCGCCCTTGTTCATCAGCGCACGAAACGCCGGGTCTGCCACACGCAGAAACAAGTTCTGGCGCTTCTCGTCCTCCAACGAGCTCGGCACCGACGGCATCCCGCGCTGCACCGCCGCAGCGTACTTGGCCGCCTGCGCCTGAATAAACGGAAGGTCCGCACTCGCGCGATCGGGGAAGGCCTTCTCCGCGAACTTCATAAACCCGGCGGTGTACTCGTGGCCGGGAAAGATAAACGTCGACGCGTCAAGGGCGTAGTCGTTGTCCTTGTTTAGATGAAACACCTTCTGCATCGCGCGGCACATGTCCGCGGCGCTGCCCTCGAAGAAGGCACCAATGCCAGCAATGAACATCGTATCGCCCGTGAAGAGGGCAATGCCGTCGTTTGGGTGCTGCGGGTGGTGCACCTTGTACAGCACGTGCCCGCGTGTGTGACACGGCGAGTCGATCACCTCCACGGTAAGCCTACCCAGGTTCACCCGGTCGCCTTCCTTCACCTTGCGCGAGACCGCAGGGATGCTATCCAGCGCTCCGCCGACCACCGTCACCTGCGAAGACGGGTCCTGCGCCTTCATCCGTTTCTTGAGCTCGACGTTGCCGCCGGCGTGGTCGGGGTGCTTGTGGGTGGTCAGGATGGTGCTGAACTTGTACGAGAAGTTTGGGTTGGTCTTCTTGAGGTGGTCGTTCACGTACGCTAGGATCGGGTCGATGTCCCAGTTCATGTCCACCGCGGCCAGGGTGTGCGTCGTGTGGTCGTCGATCAGGTAGGAGAAGTTGTCCTTCAGCGTCGGCACCACCGTCACCGAGAAGGCGGAGCCGAACTGCTTGGTGTAGCACTGACGCATTGGCACGTTGGAAAAGGGAAAAGAACGTTCGTTGTTTCCTTTCCTTTCTTCTTGATGTCGATGGGCACGGCCAAGAGCACACCGATCAGGCCCGACGTAAAAGGAAAAGAGAGGAGGAGAGAGGAGAGAGAAAACTACTAGTGCAGAAGAGATGTGTCGCGGGCAGCGATCCGCAACCCGTGCACGGGCTAGAACACTCCCCAAGCGCCGCATCGAAGCCACAATGAGGGGTGGGAGGGAGAGGGCGCGGACGTGAGAGAGATCGATGTTTCTCTTCAGGTAGAGCCGTATCCATGCGCATTTAGCGTTCTTTTCCTTTGGATGAATGCACGTGTCCTTTGCTGCCCATCACCCGCTCACAACTCTGCCCCCCTTTCCCACTTCGCCGATGGAATGCACTCAGCGCTCACGGCACAACGCGCCGCCCGCCGGCCGTTCCACACAGCAGCATCGAGCGACACCGGCAAAAAAGCTCCGCCTTCGCTTCTTCCCTCTCTTGTTGGCTTGATTGTTTTCCGCGTTGCCGTAACGCGCGGCCTCGAACACGTCCTAACCGGCTCCCTCCCCATCACAAGAGATCGAACCGCACCGAAGAGCAAGAGTAATACACAGCGAGAGACGGAGCACTCCACCGCTCCACGGAAGGCGAGTTCCAATAAATAAATAATAATAATAGCAAACACGCACGCGACGACGGCAAACATATCGAAGTGCTTCAGACCCCCCCCCCCCCCCCACCCCACCCTTTTTTTCCCCCCCAGAGAGAGAGGCGACGTCATCACGCCTCTATCCGCTTGGCACCCGCCACGCCGATCACCATCCCCCACTACAGCTACGGAAAGCGCCGGTAGAGGTATAAGAAGAAAAGAGAAAAGTAAACTCATTAATAGCATAAAACGGAAGGGAAGGATGGAAGAAGCACCGCTCCTTCCTTTTCCTGTTCCTCTAACGACACACACCGACACTGCGAGATGACAGATT